ACGTCAATAATGAAGCCGACAGCACCAGCATGCTTGGTCGAACAGAGCCTGCCTTTCCACCTCTCCGAAACGACGACATCGCAGACTCGCCGTCAACAGATGCACAGCCGCCGCCCATAGCCGGTATCGACGATAATGATGACAACGAGCCTGCGATAGCCAAGCCTTTCGCTCGAGCCAACAGCCCTGCGTCCGCCTGTCGAGGCCCCGCCAATGACGACAAAACACATGAACGTCTAGTGTATAAGATGCATAAGTTCAGTCTTTACGAGACGGCCAGTCGTTACTACATTGTGGGTGGTGATGTAACGGAGCGACGATATCGCATCCTCAAAATCGACAGGACTTCCGAAGACTCTGACCTTAGTATCACGGACGACAAGATTGTGTATAGTCAACGAGAGATGAACCAACTTCTCGACACCATCGACGATGGCAATAAAGGTACCGGAGGTATCAAGCTGCGTTGCACGACATGGGGCTTGCTTGGATTCATCAAATTCACGGGCCCTTACTATATGCTCTTGATCACCAAGAAAAGCACTGTCGCCATGATAGGGGGCCACTATGTTTACCAGATCGATGGAACTGAACTCGTGCCACTTACCCCAGCTCGATTCAAGACTGATGTGCGCAATACGGAAGAGTCGAGGTTCCTGGCCATTCTGAACAACCTGGATTTGACTAGATCATTCTACTATAGCTACTCGTACGATATCACGCGGACGCTGCAGCATAATATGGCTCGAGAGCGGGAGGCCCTCGCAAAAGGGCTGTCTTGTACCCCTCATGATGATTTCAATGCTATGTTTGTCTGGAACAGCCACCTTCTGCAACCTGTTGTGCAAGCTCTCAATGATCCCTTCGACTGGTGCCGCCCTATCATACATGGCTATATTGACCAAGCAGGTAAGTGACGATCTTTGAATGATAACGCGCTAATCTCATCACAAATCTACTTCCAGCACTCTCAATATATGGACGGACGGCGCATATCACCATCATAGCAAGGCGGTCCCGATATTTTGCTGGTGCCCGTTTTCTTAAGCGCGGCGCGAACGATTTGGTAAGCCTTGGACTTAGAATTAGACTGAGCCCCTGAACTGATGTGCATGATAGGGTTACGTAGCCAACGACGTCGAGACGGAGCAGATCGTTTCCGAGGCTCTAACCACGTCGTTCCATGCTCCCGGACCGCGGCTCTATGCAAGCCCTCAGTACACATCGTATGTGCAGCACCGTGGAAGTATACCCTTGTACTGGACCCAAGACAATACAGGCGTTACTCCGAAGCCTCCCATCGAACTGAACCTGGTGGATCCTTTCTATGGCGCAGCAGCGCTTCACTTCAACAATCTGTTTGAACGCTATGGCGCCCCCATATACGTATTGAACCTGGTCAAAGCCCGCGAACGTACGCCACGAGAATCCAAGCTGTTGGTCGAGTTCACCAACGCCATCAAATACCTAAATCAGTTCCTACCTGAGGGAAAAAAAATCATCTATGAAGCATGGGACATGAGTAGGGCTGCGAAGAGCCGCGATCAAGATGTCATCGGAACGCTAGAAAGTATAGCCGAGTCAGTGGTTACGACCACAGGCTTGTTCCACGACGGGGACGGCAAAATTAACCCCATAAGAGTGCAGAATGGGGTTGCCCGCACGAATTGTATCGACTGCCTTGATCGAACCAATGCTGCCCAGTTTGTGATCGGCAAGAGAGCGCTGGGACATCAGCTTCATGCCCTCGGCATCTTGGAGGACACGGCTATTGATTACGACACGGATGCTGTTAATCTCTTCACCCACATGTACCACGACCATGGAGACACCATCGCTGTGCAGTACGGAGGTTCTCAATTGGTCAACACGATGGAGACATATCGCAAAATCAACCAATGGACAAGCCACTCTCGCGATATGATCGAGAGCTTCAAAAGGTATTACAACAACTCCTTCCTGGATGGGCAGCGGCAGGAAGCGTACAATCTCTTCTTGGGCAACTACATTTTTACCCAGGGGCAGCCCATGCTGTGGGACCTTGCGACCGACTACTATCTTCACCACGCAGACCCTAGGTTGTGGTCAGAGAAGACGAGAGGCGATTATATCAACTGGTTTACCCCCAAGTATCTTGAAGCAAGAAGTATACAGCCTCGGAGTGACCCAGCCAGCGAGGGCAGAGACACTCCTGTTGCTTTCTTTGACGACTATTGGCTCGAGTATTATCGCCCGTCGACCTTATCGTCCTTCTTAAAGATGTTCCCATATAAGATGAACTCGACTATCAAGTACATCCCATTCAAATCGACACAGGACGGTCGGTATGACCTTAGCCCCTTTAAAATCCGCAACGAGACCTATCCAGAGACCCAAGAGAAGAAGAAGGCGAAGAAAGAAGTGACCATAGTTGATCCGCAGAGTGCATCGATTTCGCGAGGGCCCGACACGGCTATGACATCACCTGACCGACCGTCGACCGGTACTGGCCGGGGCATTTCAATTCAGCGTTGGTTGCAACCTGCACACGATAAAGTTACGGGTCAGCAAGGCATTATGAAAGCAACGCCAGAGGAACCGTCCGTTTTGCCGAAGACCAAGCCGACGCCGCAGGAGAAGTCCAAGGCAGCGCAATGGACCTTCACGAAAGCTGTGCATCAATCTTTGAATCCTTCAGTAAGCCAGATCGAGGCGAATGACTATGATCGATACGTCAGCCACCCTCAAAGTCTACCTCTTGTCGTTTCCGCCGAGGAACAGGCTGAGAATGATTCTGAATACCGAGATTACATTAACGGGAGTTGGCATCTTGAAAGTCATTTGCAGACAGGACCGGAAGATGACCCCGCCGTCTATGCCGAGCTTTTGCGCGTAGGCGAAAATCCCTTGACGGTGACGGAGGAGGACGCGCAGAAGAAACGATACAAAGCGTACAGGAAGTGGCTACGAGGAAAATCTTTCTTCAAGCAACAGCCAGTGGACTAGGCCTGATTATCTGACGAGCCAATTATTGGTTGTATGATTTGCGAGGCCGATAGCTTACATCTGCTTTGCCCTGCTGTCGAACAGGCCTCTCAAGACTTCATCCTTGGCTACTAGAGGTGCAACCTTCAAGTCCAGCCTTGTGCCCGTCACTTCAACAGCAGCTGAGAGCACCTCGACGGTGTATCGCAACTTGTCTAGAAGCTCACGGCGTGGACCATCTCCGCTGTCGTCATGCAATGAAAGCCAGCAGACAGCCAGTGCTCTGATGATCTCGCTCTCATATGCTGATGTCGACACTCTCGGCCAACAAACTCGAATAATGAGGGCCAATCCATCCAATGTGATTGACAGTCGGGCTGGGGACTCTCCAATGAATGGGTCACGGAGAGTTTCTGTAAAAATCGGAATGATGTCCTTGAACATACTGGTTAGATAATGTCTGGCAAGATGGCACGGCGTGGACTTGTGTGAACACTACCCACCTTCAGGTACGGCGAAGAGGCGAAGCCTGAGTCATGGACAAGGGTGCCTAGGTGTCGTGAGAGCACACCTGTGACCGGGAGGAACTGAGAGGCGTGTATATATCCGCCGCACACCTCGCGCATCAGCCGTGCCCGAATCCTCTGCGCAGAGGGGACAGATTGTGGGTCTTTGGCATACCGCCTCGCCAGCTCGATGATAGCCGGGTACGCGGCTTCTAGGAGCAAGACTGATTCGTCTTCCGGCGTCAGTGACGGTAAGTGTGAGAGGATCGGGGTGATAGACTGTTCCAAAACGTCGCCCAAGCCCGTATCGTATAAGAGAGAGGGAGAACATTTCTGTACAAACACCCTTGATATCTGTAGGCCGCGCGCCTTGATCCTAGCCTCTGGGTCATCCAGTAGCGCCAACAGTACTGGCGTGTACAGTGGCCAGTTCTTGCCGATGAATAATTCCTGCCCGTTCATCAGTTGTCCGACTGGCAAGAATGTGTTGGAGAAACAGGCTCTACCTTTGAATTGGCCACTGTCCAGGAAAACACGCTTAGTGCCCAAGGATGCGCGCTCTTCCAGGTCGTGGTGTCCGCAGTATCATCTTTATTGAATACCGCCTCATTTTGCTGTGCTTGCCAGGGGTACTGGGCTTTTCTGCCCGTTGAAGTGATCCGCGCCGATTTTGATCGAGAGAACAGTGGTCGCAGGACGTCTTCGAGAATAGAAGACAAGATGGAGTCCTGTCTATTGACTGTGTGACGAACCTTGGTGTCTAGGATGCCCTGGGCGATCTTTGCCGACACTCCGTCATACCAGGGCGCTTGCGGATCTGTGAAGGCACAGACAGCCACGAAAGTATCAAGATTAATGATGCAAAGGTGGCGTAAACAGAGTATCGAAAGGGATGAAAGAAGATGATGGACTGCCTCTAGCCATTGTTGCGCATTTGACCCTGCAGCGTTACAGGGAATTAGGAGTAACCCCTCAAGCGAGCGACCAGCGAAGACGCAGACCTCATTCAAGGCCTCCTGATCATCGCCCACTCGGACACGGTGCTCTAGATCACGACGCAGAGTCGAGGCTGCATCAACCTTGAATGCAACATTAGTCAAGGGTATGTTGCAGTAAGGGTCTGGTTTACTTGCCGGGGAGCGAATGTGAGATAATTCTCTGACTAGGTCGATGAAGCTGGTCATTTGTCACATAACACAGAGGCGTAGAAATCTCTATCTGCCGTTGCCTTTGCGATGTAGCCTCGGTGAGGCGGTGCCGTGGCATTGACAATTTGTATTTGGGCCTGATACGAGTGTGTGGCATTGACACATGGATGCGTTTGATGAGTGCCTGGTGCTGTTGTCCCACCTGTGATGGATGCAGACGGAGCTACCGCGTTAGGGATATAATATGCTTTAGAGGGATATGGAGAACCACCCAATATCATTCATCGATCTTCGTGTATACAATCACTGAGCAGTTCAGAACTGGAGCATATCCATTTGTCCCTCTGTTGAACCACCAACAAGGCAATTTAGGCAGGATATCGGCTCAAGGCGAGTTTGAATGTGGTCAGGTTACCGGCGACTTTATGACAATCCGTCTATCTGCAGCTCGTGCTTTCTCCTCCGTACCTCCTCAATGGCGCCTGTGGGATCCGTAGCTTCGGGATGTCGCAATTGCCACGCCAGGCATACTTCCAAAGCAGCTCCCATCCACTTCCCTGGTTTCAGACCAAGATGCTTGCCTAAGGATTTGCCATCCACAAGTCGCTTAATTGATGTCACGTCCATCAAGCCCTCGTCAGTCAGGTGATCAAGAAACGTCTGCCACCCAGATAGCAAGTCATGACATCCTCTCGACACTGGTTCCAACGTTAGCTTGCTAGACAAGGAGAACCTCACGTGTATGTTCAACCCACCATTGTTGATATCGAAGTCTGACAGGTGATCCATGGCGTCGAGGAGTATAGTGCTGAGGACCTGCAGCTTCCAGTGCAACTCGCGACCTTCCCATTTTCGGATGGTCATGCCAAGTGTATCTCTTTGACTTCCAATCTCACGCCCAGCGCATACGTCTTTCTTGAGACCAAGGATCTCAGAATGGTTACGGTGCGCCGCCGTAATCACATCGCAGAGTTTGTTGGGTGCTTTTGCGCCCTCACGCGCAACTGTGGTTGCAACTGGTAAAGATGGCCTACCTTTGGTAAGAGCATCGGCACGGGGGTCGTTCAGATGCGCATAGGGCACGAGTGAAGCTAACATCCACGAATAATATACATCCTCGTCCGTACGAACTAGGACGTCGTGTATGGATCCCGGTGCTTTGCTGCGCTCGAGAAGCCTCAGGAGCCCATACGCAATGTGCCATTTGGACAAGATTGGATGAGGGATATCAGCACGAGCAGTGTCCGTGTAGATAGCATGGTGGAGGCCCAATTCGTCAATGAGCTGAAGAGCGCGATGGGGGTCATGGTCTCCGGCCCAGTTAGCACGTCGTCCTATATATTACTGATTGAGGCCACTCACCCTTCATCATCTTCTCCAACTCTACACCCACTCGCTCCCTGCTGATCTTGATGCGCAGGGCAGCCAAGACGTTTGGGTCGGCCATGACGTCTCTTGCAGCTGGGTCGATGGCAAAACCGAGCCGACTGGCAAAACGAACTAGTCTGAGAACTCGAAGGGGATCATCCATAAAAGTCTGTAATGGCTCTAAAGGTGTGCGGATGAGCCGGTCACGCATATCACCTAGGCCGCCTGTGAAGTCTTCGACCTTCTCGGTGTGCAGGTTGAAGAACAGGGCGTTAACTGTCGCATCCCGCCGCAGAGCATCCTCTTCGGCTGTGCCGAAATCTACGGTAGGGTTCCGACTGTCTTCGGCGTACGTCTCTGTGCGAAGATTGACGAAGTCGAGGTCAAGTCCAAAGACCTTTACTGTTGTGGTCTCGAGATTTTTGGATTTCTCGGGGTTGGCAGCGATGCGGTGGAGGTTACCAATATCGTCAGGCTCGATGCCGTGTCGTGACGCGAGTTCGGGCACATCGCAGTATTCTCGCAGCCTCTCGCCGAAACGGAGGCCAGTCATCACATTGATGGCCACATCGATATCGTGACTAGTAGTGCCGAGAAGCTTGTCACGGACCCAGCCCCCAGCCCATCGCAAAACCAGTGGTTCTGGCAGTTGATCATTGATGTTGATGAATTTAGAAACATCAACGAGAAGGTCCCTCAGTTGGCGCTCTCGTTCAGTGAGTTGAAGTTGGATGGTAGATGCGTCAGCCGCCATGGCATTGTTGGGTTTCAATCGTGCGGAAGGTGGGAAGCGACTTGCACATGCGGATTGGGCAAGCTTTCTCTTCATGACCAAACTGATAATTTGACGATGCTGAGGGCCTGGAAGGACCTGAGCTAGGGGCCGGAGCATGACATGTCCCTTCCTGTCTTGTCCTCTGACGCATCGTTATGCGAGTGGGTTTTGAGCCCTTTGAACAGTTCCACTCTACGTGTGCCCGCCGCCAACTAAGCGCACAGGTCCTGTGTGAGGGAATGGGTAGGCAACGGGCTGTGGGCGTGTGCCTAATAGGTACCTAGGTAGGTACCTAAGAGAGCCAGTACGGCTGGCTACACTGACCAGCCCAGCAAGTAACCGTTAGGGGTTGGAGGGTGGCGAATATATGTGGGTCTGCTCGATCTAGGCCTATTGTGGCTGACTAGTCACCAGACATTCTCGAGGAGGCTTGGCCGCTTGGATACTGCGTACTCCATTCGTTGTGTCGCACGCTCTCTACCTCGAGGAACATTACGCATACACTTCAAGATGCGCCCTCATCAACCGGCATTGGTCGGCTGGACACCCGATCGTTGTGAAGTCACTCTAGGTGGCGCGAGAGCAGCGCTACCTGTGCTGACCACTGAGCTGGGTGCTTTACTTGCCGACGCTCAAAGCTTAGCATGCAGCATCTGCCAGGCGGGGCGAGCTTGTGGGGGAACTTGGAGACGATGATGTATCGGCAGACAAAGGCAGGTGGTGCGGGAAGCTGGCGTGTGATGGGTCATGGGGCCACCATAGCTCGACGAGCGGCAGGCCGTGACAGAGCCTCTCGGAAACTGCCCGCGGACGCAGCTCGAAAGAGCCTAAGCTTCACATGATATGCAAACCGTTCTTGGGTGAGGCGATCTGCGAGCTGGGTAAGCGGCCATCTCCCATTCACCACGCCTTCTTCCATTACTCATTTGGGAGGCAGCTCTCCGCCGCCATGTGACGTCAATTGCAACGCGGTGTCAGCCCCCCTTCACCACATGTAGGTAGGATGAGATGCTGGTCGAACGACAGCCACCAGCAGGATCTCAGTGTACCTGGTACATTTTCCCCAAACACTTATGGGTCGCTGGTGCCTGTGCTCAGATATGGTAACCGCACCAGCGCCATTAAGTGTGACAACTCGTCCTGCTGCAAGCGAATCCCCAAGCATGCCTGGTGATGATGCAAAACTTGGTAGGTAATTCAGGACATGCCGAACGATTGAGGCGAGAAGGCCTTTATCATATTACCTGAGCGGGCTGTGCAGTGCCCCCCTCAGCCATGATGTCGAGTCTGGAAAAGGTAGGGTCAAAAGCGTAGGTACAACGCATGACAGGTCAGGGAGGAAGGTGTGAGGCTATAGACAACCCCGCATCCGATCAGCTACAACTTAGTCCTCCTTCCTACCTTGGGTACTTTGGCGTGCTCAGGCGACTTAAATATCCCATCGCCGCCGCTCCCAAACATCCTGCCCCATCCCTTAAACACTACCTCCTCACACTTGACCTTATCAATACCGTTCGCCCAGATATCATTACTACAGTAAAACAAACCATCCTCACTCGCCTCTTTGTCGTAACATCTCACTACATCCACACTTGCACCACCTTTCAGATAACACCATGAACAGTTAGCAACCCGCCCTCCATCCCGTGGACTCTGTGCACTGCGTTGCAGCCGGCTAACCATGGCCCAATCGGCCGGGAAAGAAATAGATCAAGAAAGAATGGGAAGCTCATCGCCCCAAGCCATCAAGCTACAGATGGACCAGAGTGCTATTGATTCCAGCGCTGGTAGCCCCCCAGCCTTATCGTCATCGCCGTCTGACAGACGTGCAAGCACCGATGAATGGGGTACGGCATGGCCGGCAACGGCCGCTCAGATTGCTGTTACTCACTTGTTTGCTGACACGCCGGGTAGATGCTTCGAAGGTCCCCCCGAGCCGTTTCCAGAAACGCAAGGGTTCAATTTACGCAACACCCGGCTCCCGGGATGGTCACGTCGACCGAAACTATGCCAGTGGCTTCCACGAGAAACACACAGAGAAAGGTTACGGAAAGGCCGATGCCAAGCACTGAGACCCTAGCCATTGATTGAAGTCACTAGTTGGCGGTTGCAGCTGCGAAGTCCGCAAGGATTGTTGTTGATATGTGTACACGACCCCCCAGTATCATTTATTGTCTCGTTTCGGCAACCCGTTGTCTGCAGCGAGCATTACCACGCTGCACACGCTGCACACGCTGCACACGCTGCAACAACGCTGCCTTGTATTTTGTCTAGCAATCAATGCCAAGTTGCAAGTTGCTATCACTCGTCCGCATCATCAATATCGATGGCATCGGGGTTGGCTGCTGCAGTGTCGTCGTCATCAGCCCCAGAAACTGTAGGACCATCGGTAGCAGCTACAAAGCCTGCAGGCGCCCTAGCCTGGCGTTCCAATGCAACCATTGCATCGGCCGCATCTGCGTCTGCAGCGTCCTCCGGTCTTCGCTGGCTGCGAGCTAGGGCCTGTGACGCAATGAAGCTGACGTCTGTATTGAACTGAGCCTGCACGCTCCTCTTGATACGAAGCATCTCCTTGAACGTGTCCTCGTTGCCATGCTGGACCTCAAACGACTCCCACTTGGTCCAGAATTCTGGGCTTGTGCGAGGGTCACAGAATTGCGATGCGTGACCATAAATTGCCCTTGCTCGATCAATTTCTCCGAGTCGCTTTTCCATATCTGCAAATTTCATGCACATATCTCGTGCTTCCGTGTCTGGCAACGATGATATGGCCCTTTCGTAAATAGGACGAGTTGATGGCAAGCCGAAGTTGGAGGCCGATTTGGTAATGTAGAAGTTGAACATTCCGGCGCGGTCTTCATCGGCAACAGCCCGTGTGGCTCGTTCGTATATGCGCATGGCATGTCTTGCAAGACCCCGCTCCTCCTCCAAGTTGCCGTACATGAGATAAATCGTCTTGGCAAACTTCGGTGGACAATCCTCAACGGCCTGTTCGAAGAGGTCACGAAGACGCTCAATGCCAATCTTACGGTCGACAGCCTTGGTAAGATACATATTCCAGAGCTCGAAAGCAACCGGGTAGCTGAAGAGGTCCAGCCCGCGTTCATAGATCTTGAACGATTCTTCGTAGTATTCGTGCTCCTCCAAGAGGTTTGCGTAATTAACGACAGTTTGGGGAGTTGCGATGCGCAACTCAAAGATTCTTTCGTAAACCTTTTTTGTATCGTCCAACGAGCCAACGCTTTCAACAAGATCGACATAGAAGCTCCACAGCTTCCAGCTCTTGTGTACACGCTGTTGAGGCGACAGCGTTTCGTCAAAGTAATCGACAGCCGACCGTTTAGGCGCCTGAACAGCTTTCGCCATGATGCGGACTGCGTCATCAAAGTTGTCGTTCCGCAGCTCCATCTCAGCCCATTCAATCCACATATCGGCAAGCTCCGCGACAGATCGGAAAGGCACCTTGACCGCCTTCTCTGCAATGATGCGGGCGTTGCGCATGTCGCCACCGCGCTCATAGAATTTGGCGTAGCCAGCCCAGAGCTGATAAAACGAGCCAACTGCCTTTTTCGGTTGTATGGCAGCAATAGCGGCGGTGTATGTCTGGACAACTTCCTGCTTATTGTCACCCCAGAGTGCGATTCGCTTCTCCCACTCGAGGACATTGTTCGGATTTTGGCGGAGAAGTACGTCGTTTAGTAGAAACGGCCTGCGGTCCATGAGCTGTTCAAATCTTAACATCCGAATATCAAGTTCAAAGTCCGCATCCTCATCCACAACGCCTTTCGCAGCTCGATTGGAGGCAACCTCCATCAACGCCCCGATAACCGACTCTTCGAACTCGATGTATGAGTCGAAGATCATGGTGAAATCCCGAACAGTCATGACTGTTACGATACCTTCTTCAAATACGTCCCTTGTGCGCTCGAAGCTTCCACGTCTGATCCAATACGTGGCCAAACCACACCAAAGCTTGCCTCGTTGATCAGCGTACCGTGCGATGCCGCTTCTGATGATGCGCTCAACATCGATACCGGTTTCATGACCCGTAAGTATCTCAGTAGCATGGTCAACGATTAGGTCCACCATTTCACTCCAAAGTTCGAAATGGCCTTTGCCATGCTTGCTGATGAAGCGAGTGTTGTTCAAGATGTTGATGTATTTCTTGACAGCTTCGGTGTAGAGGCCAACCTGAACCAATAGTTCGATGAAGTCTTCAGTATCTTCAGGATGGATCTGTATGTACCGCCGCCAGATCTTTACTGCGCTGATGCCTGAGAGTGAGTTGGCAAAAGGCCTGTAAAGTCTCCAGATGCGCGAGTGTTGGGTGACAGGTAGCGCGCGTAATGCACGGTCGAACGCACGTCGAGTGTTTGACACCAAGGGTTGTCGAAGCAGAAACTTGAGATAAAGCTCCCATACACGAGGCATCTTGTTGAGTAAGATCAAAGAGCGTTCGAAAAGGGCGTTAACCTTGCGATATTCGGCAGCGAAAATAGCGGCATTCAAACGACTGACGTGTTTGACGCGGAACTCGAGATACTGTGCTCTTGGGTAAGCAGGATGTTGACTTTCATACCATCATGTAGGCTCACCATCTTCCATAACTTATAGGACCTCGGGAGCTGCAGGCAGGCTCTTTCAAAGACGAAGGCTTGTTCATGAATCGTGCCATGTTGCAGCTTGAATTGGATGTATGCCAGCCATGGCTTAGTGCTCCCACTGTTTCGGAGTATGTCCTGTTCGTAAACTGAGTCCTCGTCTGCCTGGAGTAGTTATTTTCTGTCAGCTAGCAAACAGACAGTGCCTAGATGAAAGACTTACTACAAGGTTCATGTCAGAGCGGACGCGACCACCGTTGATGACCGTGAGCGCCGGCATGTTGACACAAGTGACGGCTACGAAGCCATTGGTCGCCCTAGGTTGGGTGGAAAAGCGCAGTTCGTTCTAACGGCTGGGAAGCCGCGGATTGAATGCCGGAGTCACTCGTGGTCGACAAGGCGCAATTCGACGTCGTAATCTGGCGTTGCTGTTGTAAGAAGAGCTCAGCCAGTCTAGTTAACCGAAGGCGCATTCGGGGTCGTCAATCGTCCCACGGACGTGCTGTGTTGGGGAATAAACCAGGAAATGTTAAAGTGGAACACAACCCCGTTTAATTATATAACATGCATATGCAAGCTATGGCACCCACCAGCACTTCGATAGGCAGCTACTAACCCGGTTGAACGGTATCTCAATTCTGATTACCTAGGATGGCCATCGAGCTAGGTCTGATGTCGACGGTAGTTATGTGACAGGGTATCGTCATCCTGTACTAGAACCTCGACACTGCTGTCGCCCGACACCCGCTCGAACCTTCTCTGGCCCTGATCTTTTGCACTGCAGCTTTAAGATTGATCCAAGGCTTGGACCCTGTGTGTCTTGAGCTGTGCCATTACTCCGCCACCTTCCAGCTCTCCAGTATCCTATACCAAACCCTACCATCATGTCGGGTGCCGCCGTATGTATATCATGCTGCTGTTGTTGGAACTGATGTCAGCAGTGACACTCTTGCTGATATCTTTGTTCACCATGACAGGATCGGGAGGCTGTGTTCCCAACCCGGCAGTCGCTGGGTCTGATGAAGGCGAAGCTGAAGGGTGCAGAGACGGGTCACAGCTTGCTGAAGCGGAAGAGCGAGGCCCTCACGAAGTACGTATGCATTTCCGCTACTCAACCAAGTATTCTACTAACTTATGACTATCCTAGGCGTTTTCGGGGTTAGTTTACCAAGTCTGCTATTTTCCCTGATTCGATTGCTAATATCATCTGACAACACCAGAGATCACAAGACGAATTGACGAAGCCAAGCGTAAAATGGGTCGCGTAATGCAGATTGCGTCTTTCTCGCTCGCAGAAGTCACATACGCCGTCGGGGGCGACATTGGGTACCAGATCCAGGAGTCCGCGAGGTCAGCGCGCTTTCGTGTTCGCACCAAGCAGGAGAACGTTTCTGGAGTGCTTCTGCCGACCTTCGAAAGTTACGTCACTGAAGGGAACAACGACTTTGGACTCACTGGCCTCGGCAAGGGCGGCCAACAAGTTCAGCGTTGCCGCGAAACCTATGCTCGTGCTGTGGAGGCCCTTGTCGAGTTAGCCAGCCTACAAACTGCTTTCGTGATCCTCGATGAGGTGATCAAGGTTGTCAACCGTCGAGGTATGTGTTCTCCCACCCGTGCAATGTGATACCCAACTAACTTATGAACAGTAAATGCAATGTAAGACTCCCAGTTTGCACGTTCCACCGACGTCGAGTTGCTGACCGTTGGCAGTGAACATGTTATCATCCCACGCACCGAAAACACGATCAAATGTTGGTGTGCCGATAATCCCCTCCCGTTTTTTTTTTGCCTGACCGAATCGCAGACATCAATTCCGAGCTCGATGAACTGGACAGAGAAGAGTTCTATCGCCTGAAAAAGGTTGCAGGAAAGAAACAAAGAGACACCGCTGCGGCTGATGCGGAAATGAAGGCGAAGAGAGAAGCTGCGCTAAGCAAGACCGGACAGAATGACAAGGTGGACGACGGCCCTACTGACTTGCTAGCCGCCGAGGAGGACAACGACGTCATTTTTTAGGATACGGAGACGTGCCACGAGGAGCATGCTGGTGCGGGACTAATTCGATGAGGTATAAGGACCACCCAGGCTAGCAGGACACGGATGCGGACAGGTATGAGCGATAGCAGGTCTGACTGGCCCGACACTTGTCTCGATACCTAGGATGAAAGCACTATAAGAACCATTGCCATTCAAACGTGAGTAGTGAAGCAAATTTCGGGGTTGATTCTACTGTCGCTGGTAGGTTACCTTGATGGTGCTCGATTCCCCAAGCACCATGCCGGCAGTGTTTTCCTTGGCTGTGATAGCCCCTTGCTCGCCATCATATTCGACAAACGCAATGCCCCGTCTCCCAGGGACCAGTCTCACTTCTCGGAAGCCGTCAAAACGACCAAAAATGTCTGTCAATGCTTCGATATCGAAGTCCTCCGGGAGATTCTGGATGAACAAGATCTTGTTTGGTGGCAAATACTCGTCGGGCACTACGGAAGACGCAGCTGGGTTGCTCGACTTGAGGCCTGCACCCCTCGCCGCCTTAGCTGGTCGACCTGCGGCGTCAGTTGCGGCGCCAGCACCAGAGCGCTGCATGCGCTTCTGTTCTTCGGCAGCCTCGAGGGCTCGTTTTTTATCTACAACATCCATCAGCAGGCAACATATACTGGTGTGGTACGTTTGGAGCTCACCTTTCTCTGCCAGCCTGCGACGTCTATGCGCTTCAAAATCTTCCTCGCTACCTTGCGTTTTCACTGTCGCATCGCTCCTAGTCTTAGCCAACGCAACTTGCATTGGCTTGTCGAACAGCTGGAAGCCCTGGACTTCGTCAATGGCATTCTGTGCTGAATCCGCATCGTCGAACACGATGAAAGCCTGGCCCTTTGACTTCAGGTTGGTTTTGGCAATGATCTCGAGTACATTTCCGTACTCGGAGAAAATCTGGAGGAGCGATTCCTTCAAGACATCAATCTTGACTCGTTCCTCGAGATTGCGAACGTACACCCTGAAGCACGGGTCAGCCAGCGAGCCCAATGCCAGACGTGTCGGAGTGCAATGACACGTACGTGGCAATTGAAGGGCCGGATGCCATTTTGAAAGAGAGTCTGATGTCCAGCTCTAAGGCCGGCAGTAGTGGTTGGTGGGAAGTGTGCAGAATGGTCCAGTGGGATGCTGAGCGGGAAAGGTTCATTGCGACATGACGCGTCGCTAGCTACTTAAGTGGGTTAAGATACCTTACCACGCTCACTTATATGCATCACATAAATGTATCAGCCAGTGTATTAGGCTATCCAGCCATTATCTCTCCCTACCTAGGTACCCTTGGTATATTGAATACATAGGAACACGCACAGTCCTGGTCGTTATGTTTATAAAGAGTTCTCGTTGGTTCAAACTAATTCTACCTGTGTCTGGCAGTCCCTACAAAGGAATTCTTCCTCTAAGCCACAGCAAGGCAAGTTTGGTCCTACACGGGACCAGAAAGAGACTGGGCACATAAATCAGTGACTTAGTCGTGAGCCATATCACCACTACACAGGGCATACAAATAGTTTCCCAGGGCCATGAACTGTGTGTATGCATGGGAATGCTCATGGGCAGGCAAGTTGATAATGAGCAATGCTGTGTATTTGAGTCTCCAACAAGCCTAAACGCCGAATGTACTTTAACCCGCTCATCACATGCATGCATTCATTCCTAACTATGCTTGCGGGTGGTCACTGCTCTGCTCTGCGGTCGAGGTGGCGACCACAGCCCCCTCATCCCCGCCATCTGCCCTTGGCTCGTCGAGAGCTAGATCGCGTCTTAGATCGGGAACAAATCGATCAATCCTATTCCATGTCTCATTCCACAGCGTCTCCTTAGAAGCATCCTGACTCGGTGCAACAAGAAAGCCACTGCTTGACACGAAGAGTATAACATTCTTTAGATTTTCACGGACAGCCTCCTCCTGTCCAGAATGTTAGCAAAGTTACTGCCAGCCTCAGCGTGTTCGCATGGATCGCTTACCAAACTGTCACCCTGCCCGCTGTTCATTAAGCGATCCATGATATCAATGATCTCCAACCACAGGTCAGGCATGCCGTCCCAAGTAGATAGAAGGACAAGGTATTGCAGGAAGACCTTGCAAAGCAGTGATGATGACTGAACTCTCATCTCACCCATGCCATCTCGATCGGAGGTGAATACCTCCTGCTTCAAGAGACGATGGATCAAGGGAAATAAGACTTCGCCAAAAATCGCTGTCCACTCCTGGTGGTCGCTGCAAGTCACGTCAGGTGACAATAAAGATCGCTGTAGTGAGGTGAAAGCCAGGAGTCGAACGTCCCGGCATGGGTTGGTGCATTGAGTTGTCATAGCTTGGAAGATGGGTAGCCAATACGCCGACCAAGCTATAAACGAGTTAACTCAGCCATTTACTAGGGCAATGGTGTGCAGCTTACCTTCCCTGCTTTCTAGGTGAGATTGTTTCATGAGTTCAGGAATCCGGCTTGTCATGTTGTACATTGTTGTGATAGACCTTATGCCTCTGGTTACAGTATCACTTTTTCCTAATATTAGAGACAGCCCACATCACATTTTGGACGCACTTACCTCGGTGGCTCACGCTCAGAGTCACGGGACTTCCGGGGTCTTTGCTCTTGTTTTCTTTCCGCAAGGACAGCGCGTCCAGCTGCAGATGCAAAGTCGCCGAGCAAGAGGAGCGCCGCCTCGTAGTTATCTGCCATTATCGCAGGAGGTACGCCGGTGCACCCCCGTTCGAGAAGATCAAATACGACAGCTGCCGAATCGTATCTTCCGGCCAGGGCTCGCATGATGGACCAGAAATCAGGCGAAGTCATTATCTCATTCCTAAGAGGACCCGGTTCGACAACGCAGAGTTTCAGCCCCTGAATGAGCATCACGGATGACTTGGCAAGCGTGTCCTTGGGGAAGTTGGAGATGGTGTGCAGTAGGACTGGGATGTTAACGTAGTCCAGGGTCTGCAGCTTGAAGCATCAGTAGAGTATACACCAGAGACTAAGATAACTCCACCCTATGGATATTAGGATTGTGACATACATGGGTTGCGTGAAGGAGAGTGAGGAGGTAGAAGGACGTTCTTGAGACAATCATTGCATGATACTGGTTGGCATCCCGCAAGATGGCTTGCAAAGTGTCCATGACTTGCTTTCCAAGAACCTGCAGAGTCTCTTGGTCGCGCAGGGCGAGTCCTGTCATCAACTCCAGTGAGAAAACCATAGCTGGGTCATACGACAAGGTGCCAAGTTTTGGTTCGAGCTGAGGCGCAGTAGGCACATGATCCGATTTGACGGTCATGACTGCAGGATTCGGCTCTTCTGGCAGTGAGCTGATCAGGCCATCAACCAAGTGCGCCAGCTCAGAAGCACCTAGCTCGCTAGCAGCATGTCAGTCATACATACAGCCAAGCATGTCTTGTGTCTTACGTTATGTTGGCAAAAACAGTCGCCATGTGACACGAGTTCACACAGTCGACAGAGCAAAGGGTGCTCTCCAATTCTTCGTCTGACGGCTCTGGGGGGTCATCAGCTGCATAGCTAGAGATGTACGACGTAAATGCTGAGAAGAACCCCGTTTCTGCTGTTTTGGAAGCTCGATCAATGACTTGAGACGGGTTTTGAAGAGGAATGGCAGGAATAACTGCAAGTCTAGAATCGGCGACGGACGGTGCAGGCATCAACGAGTTGACAAACAAGTTGAGCCAGATACGGATGACCTGTATTGCGCAAGTTGGTCAGTGTTGAAGAGCGAGGCGAATCTGTCCCACTCACGTGTCTCCAGCCCTTATGTATGTGACTCTCGCTTCCCGTTACCACCCTGAAGAGGACCAAGGTAGCAAGCTGTGCTCTGAAGTCCCTGCCCAGCTTGACTGCGAGTTCGCTCACCATGACCGTGTTGTTCCCAGCTTGAACCTCTGTGTTGAGGTTGGTGCTGAACGGAAGCTCGGTGGCCAGTGTTGTCATGTGGCTCAGGGAGTACACAATCTGGTCAAGAGCCTCGCTGTTGCCGAACTTGGTTGCGATCCTGGCGCATTCATCAAAGCCAGTAACAATCCTAGCGAAGACGGCATCGTCGGTAGCCGACATGAACACGTAGGACAGAGTCGAGACTATTGGGCGCCACGTTGTTGCAAATATGTCGGCATCATATATATTGGTGTCGCAGAGGACCAATGGCCCAACAATCTCCGTCTTTGCCAAAAGCTCACGCCAAGCATAGTCAAATGCGTGCTTATTGTCGTGTTCTTCAGGCAGAATGATCTCGTTGTTTCTGATCGAGTCAAAGATTTCTTGAAGATACTCGGGCGCGAAGTTGCCCCCGTCGTTCACACCACGTAGGTTCTTCGAAAAGTCCTCCAAAGTCATGCGTTTCGATGTCTTCTTGACGGTTGGATTGTGCTGGTCTGTATTCAACAGGATGATGGCGTACGTCAAGACGAATACGGCATCCTGGTTTGCCACCTCGGTCGGCGTTGCGTTGGCGCAGTATCTATCGGCAAAGACTGTAACGATTCGCTCAATGAGAGGGGCTTCACCAGGAAGTCTGAAGGTCTCGAGAAGGACCCGCAGAGCTTCGTCGACACGCTTGCCATCGAAATCGAAGAGATCCAAGTACGCTTCCAGAACTGGCTCATTTCCCTTCTTAGACAGGTACTCGCCAAGGACCTTCTTGTTGACTCGTGATGTCGCGTGTAGGAACCTGGCAACCGAGGTCACATTCTGAGCGTCGTCGATGATGCCTTGGGCTTGCAGGTAGGCTAGCCCGCCTTTTGGAGTCTCGTTGAACTTAGTGGTGCCCTTGATGATGATCTTCTTGCGACGCCGCTGTTCTCGCAAATGGTCCGCCGAAGGAAGATCCTGGGAGGTAGGCTCTAGTTCGAGACGCTCTGCAATGTATTGAACATAACGGAGTAGAGCATCAAGACACAAAGGAGGCACACTGGTAGTGCTCCATGTTGCCGAATCGGGTAATGCGTTTCTAGAAAGAAGCCCGACTAGATCTTCGCAAAGGTCCGCACGATCGGGATCACAATCATAGTTGACAAAGAGCTCCGTCATGAAATTCGGCATTCTTGATAGCACTCCGATGCTTTCTACCATTGCTTGACGTGCATCTGGCTTGCGAGAGCCGCCTTCGAGGCCCAGTTTCTGGCGGTCTTTGACAGGAACGGGAGTCGAACGTCCGCTATTTGCCTGTGATGGAGGGGGTTTGACGAGCTTGGGAGACTGCGGAATGCCGGCGTAGAGAGAAGGGTCAATGCCTGGTTCTCGCGGTATTTCCACAGAGGGGTGTAGACACGCGACAAGATATGATAAGAATAGTTCTTGTTGCAGCTTGAGTACACCCCTGCAAGTCGCAAGAAGGGTGCCCGCCACAATCAGGGACTCTTGGAGAATGGCCATGTTATCAGACCGTACGAGCTGAAACAAGTAGCAGCACAGACGATCTTCAGCGATGGTAGCGAGGGCAGGGTGCCTCGCAATGGAAGGTCCAGATACTTCCAGTGCCACATGGATGATTCGTAGAGCCATGACCCGCATGGTGTCGGTATGCTGGCGGTCGGTCGGATCCAAGAAGTTGACGAGAACCCTGAATAGTTCCCTAACAGAAGGGAGCGAGTATGGTCTCAAGTCGAGAGATTCGACGTCGTTTAGCTCTTCGGGATTCAGCTCGCTGTCTTCGGAGGCATCATTGGCTTCGAGGCTCTCCTTTGCATCCGTAACTTCTGAGCTGGTCGAGGGGCGTGTATTGTCAACCTGGGCCACTGACAGAGAATCGCCGTTGATACCCGCGGGGGCAGGATCCATTGTAACATTATCCATGTCCCCGTCGGTCTGACGGTCGAGAGCATCAGGATCAACGCCTGCCTCAAGTTCCAAGTGTTTCACGTCCTCGAAAATAATCTGGCACATGTGTACCATAGCACTCTCTGCAGTCCGTCGGAGAACTGGGGAGAACCGTGGCTGAGAGCATATGGCGAGCCCTCGGCCCATCATGTCACACACACTCTCATCGCTCAGAATGTCTCCTCCAGGCCCCGACATCATGTCTTCCATGAGATGCAAAATCATCAAGAGAACGACCTCAACTTGCCCAGCGTCACTTGTGTCAAACTGGCAGCGGGTGACTGCAGCCGAGAGTGATTGCATAGCTAGAGGGAATCGGGGCGACGTAGGGCCAATGAAGCCGTAAGCCAAGAACTTGCGAAGTGCTCCAAGAGTCAGAATAGTTATCGGGGCGGCGGTGCCCTTGGTCTGTACGATCTGGAGGAATGGGCTTAGGAGTGACACGGCGTCGAAGGTGTTTATATCTGGTGTTTGGTTAGCCAGGTGTTTATTGACAGGGGATCCTACAGGCAGCATACCTCGCACGGTGGCAAGTTCGTGGCGTAGCCTGCCAAATCCTGCCATGAGAGGGTTATCCTGCATGCTCTTGCCCTTCTTCCCCCGAAGCCCCCAGCGGTTGGCAAGGCCTCCATCGTTCGACCTGTCGCCGCCCAGTGTTGTGACTATGGTCTTCGTGCCAGTTTGAAGAGCTGGACTCGGTGGTCCAACTGGGACTGGATTCGGACTTCCTCCCAGGATGGCAGAGACCGAAGAGTGTGGTGACCTAGCATGTTTCTGAATGGCCGACGTGATCGATATACACTCGGATATGACCAGGAACACAGGATCAACGGACACTGATACGGGACAGCTGCGATACTGCATTCTGGCTGGGACAACCAACGAACTTGCTATCCTCCGTGTGTCGAGGTTCGAGAGTCCGGCGCCTGGGTCGACATGTGTGCTTGCCGACGTAGTGGTGCCTGCGCTCATGGTTCGGGGCTTGGGGGCGGCCTCGAGGCGGCCTGTACGAATGTCGATATCGGGGTTCCCGAGGTCGTTCTCCTTGTCTAGCGAAAGTCGTCGGGCAGGAGCCTGGTCAGCCAATGCACTTGGACGGACGTCGAGATTGCGTGCTGTAATGTCTTGTGGTGTTGCAGAGCGGAGTGGTTCATAAACCTCTGCGCGGCGTTCGTATTTGCCGGATGTGCTGGCGGCAATACGTGAAATGTCTGGCAGCCTCCCAAGTTATGGACAGCTTGCTCAGGGCCAGGCTGGTGAGCTTCGCGCTCGAAGCCACCGAAGCTCACAGTGGTGCATTATGATTGGACTTCAGTGCACCCAGTGCCTGTTCTTGGACCCGCTTTAGCTCATTTGAGTCGCATGGGACTCGCCGATAAAAGCTGGTGCAGGGCGTCGCGATTAAGTGGGGAGCCAGATGTCCGATCCCGTTCGCAACTCTCAAGGACTCATAGGGAGACCGACGCCATGTCGCGGGTATCTATAGTTTATATAAACATGCAAAGGTGCACCCAGTCCTAGATGTACCAAGATTTTGCCAACTTATCTCGTCGGCAGTGTGTTTCGTATGTAGTGAAATGGTTCGCTGGTTCAAACGCCCAGGCCATGCTCTTACAACAGCGACACATTTCCGCTTGCTTTAAAGCGGCTACTTCCCTTCTATGATGGTAGAACAAAACAAATCCTGATTTACAATCTATATGCTATCGCCCTTCATAATCTTGGGCGAATTGGCGTGCTCTGCAACTTGGCCCTCATTTGTCTTCTGTTTCTCCATTTTCTGCTCTGCCGCCTCTTTCTCCCCGGACGCAATATTTTGCATCTCTGTTTTATCCTTTTCCCACTGGGGGTTGGCATCGCCAAATTGCTCCTTGATCTTCTCCGCCTTCTCTGCCTTGGCACTCTCCTCCTTAGCTTTTGCGAGTCTTTCTTGCTCCATTTCCTGCGATGAGGTCAGACTTCGCTCCATTGCGCTTCATGATGAATTGGGGGACGTACCTCCATATGTTTGACATCGTCTACACTGGGTTCATAGAGATGCCAGATTGTGTAGTGAGGCAGTCCGACGACGGAGTAGCCCATGCGCTTAGCCATCTGCAGACGTGTCAGTCTAGTTTGACGCGCTCGTGGTGACAATGCGTGTTACCTTGCCGAAGCCTTCGGTTTCGGCGTGTTTCTCGAAACTGAAGGCCGGGAAATGGACGCCAGATCGAAAAACCCGTGCTTTCGCGAGAATGCTGACGCCGCCGACACCATCGATGTCCATCTCCATGTCGGGATCGCCATACGGATCACGGAGGTAGGCGAGATGGGGACGCCAAGTAGCATACTCGGCGTAGCCCTCAACAATCACCGCATCTTCGTCGAGTGTGTCCGCCAGGGCCAGCGCCGTTTCTGATTCTTGCCATGAGTTCAGATCGTAGGGTTGTTCTCCACCAAGCCAGTCCGGCAATGGCCGCCACACATCTAGAGATGGTCAGCTGATGCGCAGGCGATATTGAAGGCGTATCGAGAACTCACTGGGCACAATGACATCTTTGTTGTGACGCATCAAGTCCTCCAGAATTGTGAAAGGGGCTGTCTCAACATCGACGTCACGCCAATAAACCCAAGAGTGGTACGGCCGCAGTGCAGCACTCAAAAGCCAGTTGCGTGCCTGCGCCATTAACTTTCTCCTCCCGGCTTGCGCCGCAAAGCCGTGCCGACTTTCTACATCCTGGTTCACTTTCTGACCAAAGTCTTTCTCGATAATAGAAATCTCGCCATATGGTTGCTGTGGATCCTGGTCGGCTTGGATTTCCTCTAATGAATTGGACAGAACCTCCAAAGTTCTGTCCTTGGAATCGGAAACGAGAAATGCAAGGTCAATGAGATGATGCGGATACGTAAAGTTTTTCAGGTGTGAGAAGAACATTGGCAGGTGCGGTTCTGCGTCACGGAGGGGCACGCAGAGGAGGATGCGTTCCTCTCTTTCCCACCCACGAGCCGTCCCTTGGACATCTGTGAGGTCGTAATATCGAACCGTCTCCAATTGCACATCGCCACTGCTGGAAAAGATTGCTAAAGAGAATAGAGAGCCCAGCGGGGCGTTCCGTGGCCACAAGAGCAACCCTGCGACAAAAAATGCTATCGTGATGATTCCTAGGCGTAGGAGGAGGCGCTGTCGGCGTCGGTTGGCTGGTGTTGAGCCCCTGGGTTGGTATCTGAGGAGGGGTCTATGTCAGTAAATCCACCAAAACCGTGCGGTCGGAACTGAACGGTACACCACAACCCCAACATACCGATGTGGTGAGATCTCGAATGTTTTCTCACGGGGGTAGCCATTGGCATAGCCCCGCTACTTGATGTCTTGATATCATTGTGTGTTTTGTTCGGCGTGCATGGGAGAGTGGAGTCTCAGTCGGGTTCGTGATGCTGCCGCCCCTTTGTGGGCGAGAGTGCCCCCCAAGAATAGAGTGTGTGGCTTGTTAACGGGTCGGTCTGGCGTCGCTTATTCGGGATAGGGTCGTACGTAGGATGAAGGCGAAGAGGATGTTACCACATGGCCCTGTTGAATAATAGGTCTGCTGCGTGGTTATCTGAAAGATGTGGTCATGGCGGATAGACCGACGTATACCTCAGACAATTGCTACGTGACGCGCCACAGGACCGTTTCCTCTGCTCCATACAGGGGTGTGGTTATTGCATTGGCGGTGTATGCGTATAGGCAGTACGGCCATCGCACAGCCTCGTGTAGTGGTTGGTCTAAGCAAATATGGACGTCATGGTTGGAATAACACACCGCGGGTTTGACAGTTGGTATTCTCGTCAAATCCGATGAAACAACCCACACTGTACAGGTAATGGCAAAGGTGCGGTTATTGATCAATTTGATAACATGAGACCACTCTATATGCTACATTCCATGAAGCCGCCTTGGAAGACTTGAAGGCATTCTCACTAAAATGCATATGGTTTAAAACACGACCATCATATGGCGTTATACTCGCTCCCAGAAGGAAAACGAATGGACTTGGAGGATACGAGGCCAATCGGGCATCTAAAGGGGTAAAGGATCTGCTAGAACTAGCGTCTACTTTCGTGGCGAAGCGTATGGAGAGCATTTCAGACTCGAGCCTGTGGGACGTGCAGATTCATACAGAAACTCACAATTTAACATCCTACATATGTACGACGTTACAACAATACTGTTCGCCCGCCAGCTGAACAGCTCTTGAGATTATGTCCAAGACTTCGATTTCTTATCAGGTACATGTACGAGGCCATTGGTCATGTCATACATAGCGATGAGCTGCGAACGGAGAAATAACGTAGGTTTCTGCCGAGTTGTCATGTATCTTGAATGAGCTAACCAGTCAATGTTCAATGCAGATAAATAATGGACAGCTTTGCCCTTGATACTATGTAGTAATGTGCAGTCGAAAGACATTGGTGCAAATTGCAGACTGTTCCAACAGGGTCTCGATATGACATGCCAACCAGGAAAAGCAAGCCTAAAGACTCCGGATTAGCCTCAGTACGTATCGTGGCCGTGCAGAAGGAGACGAGAGTTAAAAACAAGGGTCAGAAAGCCACTTTACTCATTCAGTCAGCCGGCCTCAATGAGCCACGTTTCAGAACGAACCGTGAGAACCTTGGGACACTGGAGCTAAATGACACCCGTGGGCGACTTCACAACCCATCATAACTCTCTTGCGAAAGCTCCGGTGCGGAAGGATTGCTTGGCCAACGTGAGATAGTTGAATGGATAAGCTGTGGTCATCAGGTAGGGTCGAGGGGTGGCATCTAGGAAACGCTTTGGTACGAACCTACTGTCACTGCCACATGCTCGGTGTGTACTTTCGTTAATGGGTTCACACATTGTCATCTATCGGAAGTCAGTGACAAGCACGTACAAAGATTATCGTAGTGAGAACGTTGTAAATGTGTTGAGCATCAGAGGTATTTTGGTATTGGTATGGGTATCATCATTGTAGTTCAGAAGCAGAACTGAATGAATGGTTTTTCATCATGCAAAGGAAGAAGAAAGTGAGGGACAAACTGAGGAATGACATACGGCAAATATATGGGCATGTTTAACATCCAACCGAGCATTGTACACTATCTTCCCGGTCAGCGAGAGTTACTCACGGGACGAGCCATATGAGTGTGGAGATCAGAAGTGTTGTTCAGATGGTAGTGCATGATAGTCGTACGCTCAGGTGTTCGCGACAACAGTGGAATGATATGCATCATTTGGGACTGGGAGTGTCGGCGGGGGTGCTTTACATACCGTGTTGAGTCGTGGGCATACCCAGCGCCAGGTGCCTGGTGTATCACCGTTGAATTGAGAGGCACTCCGAGCCCGCAGCACTTGCTTTTCGCGGAGAACTGTCCGTCAGTCGCCAGCGACAGATGAAGGATCGAAATCAATTGGGAGAGGAACGATCCATCGTCGGCCTGAATGCAGACAGCAGGCTTCGGAAGACTTGCTGAATTGTGGGAGGTAGTGAAGGACGGAAAGAAAAAAAAACGAAACTTCATCGAGGAAATAGCTGTTGCCGGCCAATCCTCGGTTGGTGAGTGGGTGGGGTCCGCTCACAAATAGGTGGAGCTCTACAGTACAGCAGCGAAAGCTGCCCTTGCTTTGTGAGTGCCGATTTTCTTGAGCCATCCCCGACACTTTGCATGTTGATCTAGCTGCGACTGACATCGACCAAGTGCTCAACACTCCCTTCAGGACTGTCTTAAGTTCCATCTGTTCAGGTGAAAAGAAATTGGAGGCAAGGCTGAAACGACGACGTTTGTGTCCAAGGACTTACCTGCACGTCTCTCCACCACAATTATCAGCAATTTCTCATAGGTCATCAATCAGTATGACAGACCGTCGCAGGATCAATGGACCTTCGGGTGCCACACACGCTCCAGTATACGAAGACGAATTGGGTGCATCAAGGAACTCTTCAAGATTGAGACCTGCCAACACGATGAGAAATTTATGTTAGTGTTGCCCCACCTGCGAGGAAGTTTTGTTGCTGACCTGCTTTGCAGTCCTCAAAACTGGCATTGCGCCAGCCGCCTCCGGATCCGCCTATGCAGAGATTGAGGCTCCTGCAGGTGTCTCTGATACACATGCGGGTATGAAGCTCATCTGCACAGTTCATGGCCCGAGAGCTCTCCCGAGGTCAGCGCCATTTTCACCATATCTAGTTCTATCGACACACGTCAAATACGCACCCTTCGCGACTCGCCAGCGCAGGGGCTACCTCCGGGACGCCAGTGAGCGCGACCTCAGTGTCCACCTTGAAACTGCACTGCGGGGTGTAGTTATTGGTGAGCGATGGCCCAAGAGCGGTCTGGACGTTACGGTCACCATCTTGGAAGGTGACCAGGAGAGGGGGCTCTCGCAGGCACAGGGTCACGAAGACTGGGATATGATGAATGTTCTTGGTGGCTGTATCACAGTTGCTGCAGCTGCCATTGCGGATGCCGGTATTGACTGTGTTGATATGGTCACTGGTGGCGTCGCAGCCTTGATTCAGTCCAGTGGCACGCAAACGCCCCAGATTGTACTTGACCCGGTATGCTCGGAGCACGACAACCTTCTGGCCGCTTGCTGCGTAGCGTACATGCCATCGCGAGACGAAGTCACCAACCTATGGATCAAGGGTCAACTTCCGCCGTCAGACGCGGCAACGCAGACGCAATTGGTCAGAAGAGCTATACAGGCATCAAAAGGGAATTACAAGGTCCTGGTGGATGAACTGGGTAGCTTCAGCCAAAATCACGTCGAGGCCGCTTGAGACTTGCCTTGACATCGCTCTGTCGTCGCCCGAGATTTTGCGCTTCTGTGAGGGGATGGTCTGAGGCATGGAGGGAGTATAGTGGCCTGGCGGTCAGACTATTGACAGTCGAAGTACGATCCACAGCCCGTGCTTCCCACGCAATTTGGGCCTCACCTGGAACAGAACAGAGGAAATTTAAAAGTCACTTGCGCTGAGCGCTTGCTGACCGCATGTTTGTCATCGCAACCAAGTATGTACCCAGTCGCCCGTGGGGGTCCCGGCCTCGGTGGGCCAGATCATGCCGCAACTGGAAGTTGCCTCAGTCGGAAAGATTGTTTGAGACGATGCTCGGTGCAGGCGTATGTGTACGGGACACCAGACGGCCGTTTCACTGTCTGCCTCGACCGGTATTGTAGAAATGACAATACACGTATGTCTTGGCACAACACTTGATGATCGTGAATGACTGCAAAGTCTCGCATTAGATCTCGTATGTAGATTTCGCGATTCCATTCAGGCCTTTGGCGCCTGAATGTCGTAGGTGCACATGTGAACCGAGGTGCCCACTTGAGCTGCTAGCGGGTTGGATAAGAGGAGGCAAAGATGTTGGGGAAGCGGATGCAACGTGCACACACCCACTCGCACAGTCGACGACTCCGGATTGTCCACGGCCGAGGCTCTCTGATTGCTAGCGCGACGGACCTATCCTGCCGTCTGCCGCAGTGCCTGGGTCCTGATATATGCTATACACCATTCTCGCATGCAAGGTAATTGTGCACACATTTGCCGTATATGCGCTACTTACCTCGCTAGGCACATGTCGCAGCGACTGCCCAAGCCACTGGTCTCCAGCCAACAGCACCACGACTGGACCATACTCCCCCGCATTGCAAGGAGTCGTGACTTACCTAGGTAGCTGTGAGTATCACCTAGCCGGCTGCTGCTGCCGCCCTTGACCACTCAAGTCGCTAACGACAACAAGCGATCCACGTATGCTCCCGTCCACGATGTCAACCATCCTGACCGATCTATCGAACGACAGTGTTGCTATAATATAATCTCCAGGAAAGCCTGTGTCGTCCGGATTGCCTCGAGGCAAAGACATGGCGAGCGGCCTCTTCCCGGGCCCTCCGATCGACAACCACCAGAGTTGGTGGCACAATATCACTGACTGGACGTCCCGACACTTCCATCACGCTGCGAACCTTTCCAGGCTTGGTTCATCGATTGACGACGTGATTTGGGTAGGACCTCGTCTAGCAGAAAGACTCGGATATTTCGTTGCGGACTACATCGGAAACGCCGACGCCGATCGGGGCATTGCCCAAAGGCTCAACGCCCAGGAACACGCCCAAGACCTGCTCAATGCGGAGCCAACTCTTGCAGCTTTTAGAACTGTCATGGAATCCTCATCATCTCCTGCGCACCCCGCAGACGTCGGCTCGCAACAGACACCCGCGACCACACCACAATTCTCCATGGAGGGGGCCAAGGGCCTCGGGAGCGTCTTCAGCTATGCTACTAGCAAATGGGCTCTATCCTGCATAGCCATGGCAATTGTGCTCAACCGCACTTATATCTTCGCAGCGACAAGAAGAAGGCTTCGCCTCACCTGGCCCATGCGATTAGCGCTGCGTATTATGCCGCTTGCCCTGTTCGTAATTCAGGGTCGCCAACTGCTACAATCAATGCAATGTCAAACTTCCCCTGACTTCGCTCAGATGCGATGGGGCAATTCCAGCAAAAGTTCTGATTTGCTCTTTATTCAGCCGGACGGGTTTCTCCACGCTATAAGCTCCGCTTTGCTTCTGGGAGCTTCAGACGAGCAGTCGTGCCTGGCTGTACGCATGATTCCCGACGATAACGCTGGGCCGAACCCCGAACTTAAAGGTTCTCTATCCCTCCTCTGGCCGCTATTTGGTACCTTCTGTCTCAGTCAATTTCTGGAGACCATATCATGTGCTGTGCAGGGACGTCCAGTCGCCGCAGAAACTGGTATGACCTTATTTGAACATTCCCTTGCCTTCGCGGAGGCAGATTCTGCCATTAGCAATCAATTAGGATGGAGTTCCTTCGCACTCAAGCAGGCCCAGACCACCGAAGCTAGTGCCAGTGTTGGCAATGCCATCGCCATCAGCCGATCCATGGTCCTCCAAAGAGTCAATACGCCACCCGAGGTTCTTCTAATCGCCTTACTCTCTGTCATGAGTCACCTGACGAGCCACACTCTGGGTGTATTCAACCTTCAAGCTCGATTCCGTCTCCTGAGCACTGGCTTCTGGGCGTTATGCTTCATGGCCAGCATCGTTCGGAGTGCGTGGACATTTACTCTTGATGACACCTTGACTCAAGGCCTCTTACGGTTCCCCACGGTGTGCATTATAGGCTTTTTCCCGCATGTGCTAGTTCTACTAGGAATCATTGTATGCCTGACGATATATTGTCTCGCTCTTGTTATATCCGCTTCAGCGCTACCTAGCGCGGACAGGCCAAGCAACCTCGACCTCCGTCAAAGATTGCATCTTGCCCATGCCAATATGCAAGCAAACATGCCGTTGTCCGGTGTTCGTATTGGCAGGGAGATGGATTTCTATACTGCCCTGTTACGCACTGGATTCGGCGCCATTACAATGGCGAGTGAAGCTGTATATCTAAATGAGGATAGGGATGTCAATCTCGCGTCCTCTACGTGGATCGAAGATGAGAGGTTTCGAGAGCTGGAAGAACTCCGGAGGCAATGGCTTGGCGAAGAATTCGTGTCCCGTCTCGATGCTACCAGCACAGCCAACCTGATACCAGTGACGAAAGGCAGGGCTCTGGCGACGAGTGGCTTCGATCGGGAGCGTGCTGCCCAAAAATTGCCCAAGACCATTTCGGGGGAAGGCAGACTGCGCGACGGCATCGGTGCCGCCGAGAGGAGCGGCAGATGGTTGATGGCTTTAGACTTTGTGCTCAATACCAGCAAACTGGTGGTCAGAACGACGACAGGCCTGGTCATCCGACTGCTCTCCCGCCTTAGTATGCGCATACCACGATGGCTGCTGTGGATGGCTCAGAGGCCGAAACAACAGGGTGAAACGGCCGCCACGGGCACTGGGCATCGTTCTACAGCTTCTCACAGCTTTCAAGGTGGTATAACAGGGGGCGTTGACATACCCTTGACAGATGCCGTGGATGTCGAGGCCGAATTCAGGCAGCGAGCATGGTCAGCAACGCAGAGCTGTGTTCCTTTGAACGAAGTCGACCTGGACTCTGAGCTATATCGCTGGTGGTTGGGAGGTGGCTGGTGGGGAACCGCAGATATGAGCGGTGACTATGACCCCAATGCCGACTCTGACTACGACGATGACGACACAACAAGCATTCTATCAATAGCGACATACGACGACAATGAAGATGCTTGGGAATCAGAAGATGGGGATGGTCAGCAGACGCCCACGCGGAATTCGCCTCAGCTCAAGTATGAGACGAGCTTTGCACATGACAGTCCCATGCAGCTCGACGACCTGGCACGACTTTTGAATCCAGCAACTCCTGAGGATAAAGAAGAGGCTGTTGCGTTGGCTGCTCACCTGGGCAGCAGGGGTGTATTGACCAGATCACAATACCGCAGCCTCCAACATCGCCGCCGAGTGGAGATACTCAACCCCAATGCATCCGCAGAAACTGATTTAGCACGAAGCACGAGATTGACCCCACAAGAAGAAACCGAGTTGCTCGAGAGGCTCATCATATCACGACGCCGACTGCGTCGAGAGCAGCAAGCTGAGGCTCATACCTCTTGGTCTGATGGTGCTGCCGGATTCGGGTCAGATGGACCCCAGTGCGTAGTCTGCCAGAGCATGCCTAGGACTATCATCGTGTGGCCCTGTCGTTGTCTAAGTTTGTGCGACGACTGTCGCGTGTCGTTGGCCATGAATAACTTTGACAAATGCGTGTGCTGTCGGCGCGAGGTCATAAGCTTTAGCAGGATCTTCGTTCCTTGAAATCAAGCCGAGTTAAAGGGGTTGTGTATGACATTTGCCTGCTAAAGGATCTTTCTCTTCTCATGACTTGTATTTGCACACATGATCACGCTCCGTCGAATCAACCCACAGTATGCCTACATGCCAGCCCATTCTATGCAGAAAGCTCTAACGGAGGGATCGCCACCTCCAGTAGTATCATTCCGCGGCACCTCGCCTCCCAATAAGAAGCCTTTTTTAACTGAAGTGCCCAGCCGACCACTGCCAACCATGTCTAGCATTGAAATCTCCTCCTCCCACTCATAGTCTGTAGCGAGGAAATGTGCATGATACCTCAAGGGATCGCCTGGGTAGACACTATACTTAGCGCCGAATCGGAGGCCAGGAGTCATAAAGTAGCCTTGGGACAGTAAGTGCGCGTGAAGAGGACCAACGGCAGGCTTTGCTTCATCGTTTTCAGGTGACGAGACCGATGGTAAGATAAGCCCCAAGCTAGTAGTGTTAGTGATTGTGAGCGGCTTCACAAGACTGCGGTCTGCCACAGGTTTTGGTTCATCAGTTAGATGAGTGTTTCGAGCAGTCCCAAGTCGGTCTGGGTCAACGTTGCCATGTGCTGAGGATTGAGCATGTTCAGGCGCCGTGCTTCCTTGGCTCTTGGCCTTGGCTGCAAGCTCCCGACTCTGGGCAGCTTTTTGTGCCTGACCTTCGGCAAGATGCTGTTTGGCTTGCTGACGACGATCGTTCAGCTGGTCGATATACTGTTTACGGCAGCATCTGTCCTCCTTTAGCGCAGCCAGGTGACTTGTAGCCTCGTCTGCAAGAACGGCAGCCTTCTGGTCCAAGAGCAAAGCAGCCTCTTCCGGAAGAAGCTCCAAGGGAAGGCTCAGGAACACATTCTGCGTTGGATTTTGCGGGGTCGACCCGACCAGAACTGAGCAAAGGTGGTGTCGTCGACGCAATATCGACACGTGATCAGCGTCGAAAACCAGATATCGGTCGGCGATCTTGGAAATCCGTATCTGCTCAATAGCAGAACTTGCTTCTGGACTGTCCATCGCGCGTCTATATTTGGATGTTAGCATCGATTCGATTCGTGACCTAAACAATACGAGCGTCTCGATGGTATTGAAGTCATAGAAAAATGTAACATATTGTCGTCACCAAGGTTCAGTGGATTGACAGATTGATTGATATGAAAGATGTATAATCATAGAGTACTGATGGTTGGGTAAAACATGAAGAGGGCGGGTGTTTACATACCTAATACTGCGCGATGTGAAGAGGGAAGGGTTCAAGAAAAGCACTGCTGAGAGCAAAAAAAGAAGAAAAGTGCAATTGAGATATCGCGGACACTATGGGGTATCAGAAATTCAATGTCTGTTTAGCAGATATCTATCTAAGCACATTATGCACTTTCTATGGTGCGTGATCCAGGCAATATTCATATCTAAGAAGGGTACTCTTAAGGGCCCGCCCACTATGACTCTATGTGGAAAGGCTACATCTGACCCAAGGAATACGGTCGAATGAAATCCCTTGTTATCACGTTGCTCATGTGTTGCATTATTTTGTTGTCATTGGTATGGCTAATGGCAGCTGCTCTCAGCGAGCATACGAGTCCCATAACTCCTTGGCCTCATCTGCAGGGTTGTCTCAGAAAATATCGCCGTTTCATTAGAATGATAGATCATGGGTCTTAGTATCTTTTGAGGCAGCGTCATTTGCATCTGCAGTGTTCCCAACAGGAGGCAGGCTATAGGGTTTGATCACCAACCCGCTCGATGAGCTCAACTTGAAGGAAAGATTCTCTTGAGAGAGCCTGCCTCCTGGGCCAATGCCAAGCTCACCGGATACAGGAAGACGGTGTATGTTGAGCATTCCTTGGGCGGCGTCGTCTGATTTCGACCCCGGCTGAGCGTGAACTGGTTGCTGCAGTGGCACTAGCTCCACGACACCGTCTAACAGGGTTTCCATCCACCGTACGAGACCCGTGGATCTGGAATAGAGGGCTGTCGATACCGAAATCATCGCTGACAAGCGGGAACCGTATTTTCGAAGTAATGCCCGTAGAGCGTGCAAGAATTGAAGGACCTCGGATGGTTTAGAAGTCGTCGGCCCATAAGACGCCGGTGAAAGAAGATTTGGCACGACGACACGATGTACAGATCCCGGTGGTGAGGAATGCATGGCCTCCGCTAAAGAGACTGTATAGAGCTGGAGCAGAGACGGGCTTTTTCGAGCGGTATGCTTCGGAGTGGGTGGCATTGTTGGCCGTATCACGTGTAGGTCGCCCTTACAGTCCCGGCTTTCCAATTTGGTGGCCAGATCGAAGGCGTGACAGAACGGCACACTGAGTGATTTTGCATCACTAATCTGCTGCTCACCCATGGCTGATGAAGACTTAGTTCGGTCACTCAGAGAGACACGCTGTGAAGAGCGTGAAGTATTGGCCACATACATGAATGGGGAGGTTCGCCACCACGGGACAAGGACTCGTATCTCCACGCAATCTTCATCTTGTCATCAGAACCGTTGGAATTCCTGGCCTTGCTGGTACGAGGAAGTTGGGACAAGCCCGGTAACTCAGATCGCCAGGCATCTCCAACACCAAAAACGTGAACGTGATGCCCCTGCACGAGGCCTTCGGCGGCGTAGTATTTCAACACAACCCCAGAAAAGTCCGTGGTTCCGGATTCTTCCAGAAGAATAGCGTTTCCCAAGGGGAGGCCTGCATGCCCAGATAAGCACTGGTCCAGTGACGCAGTCCCAGTTGAGATTGTCAGGCGGCCATCCAGAGGAGAGGGTCGTGTTCCTGGAGCATGTCCCTTCCCGAGCTTGGAAGCAAACTCCTCGGGAGCTCCGGCGGCTGGAACTCCCAAAATGATGTTTTTCTTTCTGAATGACATATTTCTGTGAGACAGTCGGTGCCAGAGTAGACTTTTGGCAAGATGATGCTCGTTGATATTGTGAACACAAGTGGGTACTCATGCTTCAATCGGGGCGTTAAAAGCGATACCTGTATAAATGGGTGTTCAAGAAACACAGGTGCTGGCTGTCACGCTGTACCCAATGCAGACCAGGCCAGGCGCGTTCTCGCCCCACTGTAAAAACCAAAGTCGACAATCGCCAATCTGACAGCTTCAAAGGCAGGTAAGGTCTTGGTCATATATCGAATCATCCCCCGCATGCACCAAACAACGGAGAGTCTGTCGAGGAACACGATTGCACCCAATAAATATCGCCGCAAAGAGCAATTGAAGAAAACGCCATAATGACGACTACCGGCGGCGATGTGACACTCTTCGAGGAGAGCTTCACTATTACGAATTTCGATCAGTCCAAGTATGACCGTGTTGCTCGCATTTCAGCGACCTCTGCAGACAACCAGACCGTCATGACCCTCGATATCAACATTGAGCTGTTCCCCTGTGCGGTATCTGACAACTTGCACGTCGTACTGGCAACCTCCTTGGCGCACGATGGAAGCAAGGACGAGGAGAAGGGCTGGCGGGATGTGGCCAAGGGATCTGGTGGTGGCGCAGAAGCGACGCTGGCGGACATGTTCGATTACGTGTGCCATGGGAAGATTTACAAGTTTGAAGACGCCGATGATGGCCAGATCATGTAAGTTGCTGCTCCGGAAGTGGCCAGAGAAGGGCAACAGTGTGGCGCTGCTCGTTTCGTCGACTAACCTAACCTCTTATATAGCAAGGCGTACGTCTCGTTTGGAGGCATGCTCATGTCTCTGGAGGGTCCATACAAGAAGCTTACGCCACTGCGCGTCGACTACACATATCTCCTGATCAAGAAATAAGCAGCTGAACAAGACCATGATGAACAACGTTAAATAACACTCGACATGCCTGCTGTGCGTACGCCGCCGATGCCATCACAAAATGGACGAGGAGCTCCGATATTGTCGGACACCATAGTATCTGAGGCCAGACAGCTTGTTACGCAAAGCGAAGGCTACGATCGCCCTTTTACGAAAGGACTTATTAGAATTGGCCTGCAGTCTAGTTTGGGAACGACTCGAACTTGTGGGGGCCGGGAAAGGGGAGCTCGCGGTGCAGCCTGAGCTTTATCTCGTTGAAGTCGGGCTCATTATCCCGCGTAAGGATGCCATGCCGGATCAGGAAGTCAATGACTACCAAGGCACAGTTCGGCTTGAACTTCCCGTGTGCCAACTGATGCTGTACCTCCTCAATACCGCAGAGCTCGAACCCAGCAACCTCACCGTCCTTGGGTCGCGGAACGACGTTTGATTGTAACTCAAGGTCGTATATCCATTGGACTTCGGGGTAGATTAGGCCAGCTTGACCAGCTTCCTCGTGCGTGATGTAGGTGTAAGTGACCCCACCAGCTGCCAATGTTTGTCCTCGTACGACGTCCTCGGCAAGGTCCGCCTCTTCGTTCGCCTCCCTGATGATGCATTCAAACGGATCCTCTCCCGTCATGAGACCGCCAGCTGCGGTGTTGTCCAACATGCCGGGAAAAGTAGACTTCGTGGGCGATCGTCTGGCTATCCACATCTTGATACCATGGCTTGCCTCTGCACACCGTACGAAGGCATTCAGATGAACGCCGTACCGCGTAACACCAAAAAGGCCGGTGGCGGACCGCTCCATGTTGTAGAGTAGCTCTCCATCGTTTGCGTAAATGGGCCATAGCTCGTCCCGCCATCCGCGAAGCACTGGGAAGGCATCTTGGCTTCGCCAGTGATTCATCAGCGCTGCGACAACAGCGCTGCGCTCGGGTTCGGTAGTCCCCTGGAAGGCGTATACAGTGCGACGGGCATGGTCGACATCAATGTCTCCTCTGACGTCTGAGGGTGTCTCCTCTAGCCGCGCCAAGACATCTGGTGGCACGTAACCTAGGGGGATATCTTGACGAACGTCCTTCCATCTCAGGGTGTACAGAGGTTGTTGCAGTCGTCCTTGGATTTCATCAATCGACCCATACGGAAATCTGCACTACGTTTAGGCATGACACCTAATAATACAACCACACAATTCCTACTTACGAGTCAATGTTGTTTGTAAGATCGATATTGCTCAAATTAGACATGGTAGTGTATGGAGGGACGAAAAGACAGCGGCGGAATTGACGGGATGCACTTCGTGATATAATCCGTGCCGCTGGGGAGGACATTGAGGTGCGTGAGCGAGGCCAGAGACTCAGCTTTTACAGGTTCTCCAGAATTGGCTCACACAGGGCTAACTGATTGCTCGGCAACTTGTAGCAACGTCCCAAGACGGTACCTGTTGCGCCCGAAGACGGCCACTCCATCAGACGTGGTGGGGCTAATGCGATAACTCATACCTCTATATGCCTTACATACTGGCCTACCTTAGGCAGTACATGTCCCGCCAACGCCGCTTTTGACCTGTCTCGTACCCGTGAAAATCATTCTAGTTTGAAGAGTTGCCTCCAGGAAAACGCAGTTGAATCAAAAGTGGCTATCTCGAAAATTCAGAGGTATATCCCCTATAACCGTTCCACGAATATCTTGGATGAGTCTCATCCCGGGAGATGTTGTAACTCCAGCATTTGATCGCGGTCTGATCCTTTAAAACCAGTTACACTGAGGGGTACCACCATCATGTCCTCGCCACTTTTTGGCGTGATTCCAACTGGTCAACCACTGATCACAGAGCCAACATCAACACCATCGCAAACGTCATTTCTATACACCATATCTGCCGCCAGATCCTTCACTCATGTTGTCGTCTTCATTCTTCCCGGCATAATTCTCCCTCAAAACACTGCCGCGGCAATATACTTTGCCACAGCGTCTGCCGTGGCTGCCGCTGCCACAGCTGGTCAGACACCGGATTTCCAGTTTCTGGGTGGTATAGGACCCGGAAAAGAAAGTGCAGTATTCAAGATCAATGCGGCACCTTCCGATGTTCAAGGGAACCTCAACGGCGAACAGTCGGGGACCAGCGTCATGATTGGAGTCTCCATAGAAGACGCCACATCTGTAGCGATTCGTATTCAGGAGAAGAAGCCAAATACAACCCCGACTGGTCGTGGAGGCCAGCCGAGTACTGCAGTCTTAGCCCAGAGGATTATACAAAACGCCTTTAACTTCCTGTCGGGGTTCAGTGGGACGGCTGGCCCGGGAGGTGTTGAGGTGGTGCCTTTAAAGGCTTTTGAGGGCTGGTGGAAGAAGTTTGAAAGTCGGGTTAGGTCTGATCCCAGTTTTCTCGAGCGGCAGCAGCAAGAATGACGCACTTTGTAATACGACATCTTTGTCGGGAATATCATAGGATGGGGAGATGAAGTCTGGCTGGGCTCAAGTCTGCTGGGCTCAAGTCTGCTGGACTCATAAATCGGATATCTTTACTCGCAGGGCGTATGGATTTCAGTCAGGAAGAGCCAGGTGTGACAATATTGTATGTAGTTCATGGACTACCCTTACTGCAAGCTCAGTTTCAAACGCCGCCTAAGCCCTGGCCCGGAAAAAGAAATCAGCCTATTATATGAAATCGCTAGCCTAAACAGTCGTTCCAAGTCCATCAGCTTCTCACCGAGGGTTTGTGAGCGGACTCTTCAACCTGGTAGGGCTGCCCGTTCGACTGCGTCGCCCAGCGTTGACCGCACTGGGAACCAATCTTTCTCTACTCTCTGTGCGCACCGCAACCCCGCCACGATCCACTGACAAAGCCCCTTGGCCGTCTCCATAGCGCTCCAGATTGAGTTTCGGTTTTGGTAGGCCAGCCACGCAGCCAGAACGAGATGCCTCGCTGCTGTCAGATGCACTGTAATCATCGGATTCAACATCAGCAAGCTCAAACTGGTCCGCGTCTCCCTCTTCCAGAACCCGTTCGTACTGAGCTGGACCCCTGCCAAAGATTTTGTTCGCGAAGGACAATCCACGTGCAGGTTTGCGGGGACTGCCTGGTCGGGAGTTGCGGCGGAAAGCTGCTCCAACCCACCCGCACCAGCGTGACCGACGATCTCTCTTCCGCAACAGAAACGTGAACAAAGCCACCAAGACAACCACCAAAAGTAAAGTTGAGCCTGTTGTTGACGTAGCCTTGCCTATGGGGCCTCCATTGTTGTTTTGCCGACCGTTGCCCTCCCGAATGGGGGCGTATTGTGACCCAGCCGGTTCAAAATCCTTGGCTTCTGGTACGTTACTACCGAACCCGACGGGTAAGTCCTCCGTATCGTCCGGAGGCGGAATTTGTCCAGCAGCGTACAGGATCATCTTGCCAAGCGTCCAGCTGACCTCAATCCCATCAATCTTATTGACAGGACGGAAGGGGTCTAAAAACCCTCGATCCTTGGCATCATCGATGACCCCATCTGAAACATTGAGGCCGGGCAACGGCTCGTGCTCAAGTCCGGGGCGCGGAATACCAATGCCTTCATACAAGACATTGATGAGCCATGACGCCTTGAAACATGCCTCTTGAGCGTTCCTTGCCTTCTCTTCTAAAGTTTTCTTTCGCGCCTCCAAATCGGATGCGATATCAACCCAATCACGACTGCAGAATTCCACTACGTTTTGCTGGTAAGTTGCGAGGTCGTACGCCTTATGTTTCCCTCCGAAGACACCGTGGGTAGTGTGCCAGTATTCAGAAACACCGACGAAGTGATTAATACTGAAATCGATAGATGGGACGTGTTGACCGTTCAGAAGACATGGGTCGTCCAGACAAGGCGCATCCTTGCCAAGAAGGGGTTCTGTATTGGCGAGACACTCCTGAAAGAGACCTGTGCCCACTAAAGTGAGCTCCTTCTTCGCTTGCTTGTCGGTCAGAGGGTCGCCGTCAGGTGTAGTTCGTAAGCCTTTCGGCATGCACGGATCTGGGACCTCAAGATTGCTCGATTTGTCGTACGATTCCTGAAGCCGATCGACGTATCTTTCGCGGGCCTGGTTGGCTCCATATCCAAGCCAGGTCGCTGTGAAGACTTTGTGTTCTGACACAGTACCATCCATGGTTCGTAGGCGAACAAGTTTGAGATCGTTGGAGTGCTTTTTCGCTTCGGTGGAATTTGGTGCAAATGCAATTTGCGCGCTGGCTCCGCCCATATCTAGGAATCCATACGTGTGGTGTCCCTGACCATGTTGATGATTCTGGGGCTCATCAAAGCCGCCAAGTAAGTAATTGGTGGCTAGCCAACCGTATAAACCCTCAGTTTCTCCAGATATCACCTGAATATTGGTATTGCAATCAGGTAGGGAGAAGTCTGTGTTATCTCGAAGGTAGGTGCACATGCTCTGCAGCAGTTCTTGCTGTTTGGTCTTCGGTAGCAGCCTCATGCCGGCGGTGGCCATGAGATAGATCGGAGTTTCGGCGACTTTGGAAGCAGGAACTTCAGCTAATGCGAGCTCGACTAGTGCCTTTAGATGTTCGGGTCCGATATCCTCGGGCTTGTCCGCGAAAGAGGAGACGCCTGGATGAATCTTCTCACTTGTTTCCAATTTGATCTTGGGCAGGCGGCGGAGTTCTTCTTTCGTGGCATCCTGGACAGCTTCCGCGTGTTCTTTCCACTTGTAGACGTATAAGCGAGTACCGGAGGACCCGGCATCGAATATGATACCGTAGTTCGCTGTAGCCACGAGGGAATGGTCAGCAGTTTGTTCTAGTTGCTGCAAAATGAGCTCTTACATTTCTTGCCCATTGCGAGGACCCCGGATGATTCTGTCTGCGATAACAACCAGACTGTTGTTGGCGTAGGCGAACTGGCGCCGGGGGCGAACTGCGTGGAATCAAGGCCGATAAAAACGAGGCCGCGCAGACCTGGAACGAGCGAGAGGAGGCGATGCGATACGAGGGAGTGACGGAGTTATGCGATGCGCGATTGTACGGCGCAGAAGCGAGCGGCAATCATCCCTTCTGGATGGAGATCTTCGTTCCAAATCGTTGTAGTAACCGTCCCAGGTAAAGAAGCGAATGGCAATGGCAGTCGAGCCAAAGAGACCGACTTTGACAGATTGCGCGATAGACAATCTTGACGCACGGAATTGGGTTGGAACCCAAACGGGAAAGCTCGTATCGTAGCACCGAAACCTTTACAGATGAAGACTTCAATACCATGTACCGGAGACAGCCTAGTGAAGGGGCCAGGGTGCGAGGGGTGCGCCATCACTCGCGTCACAACACGTCGATGGCCTATCTCTTAGGTACTAAAACACGATGAATCCCTTATCGGCGAAAGCACCCTGGATAGTGGGACCCACGCCGTGGCCGTGGCGTGACAGGGATGTACCTTCGTGCTAGACTTTTCTGATCCGAGCAAAAGGCAACCACGTCGACCCAGATATTCCTCTGAAGGCCAACCTACCATCGCCTGAACCCAGGCTTGTCGCCTCTCTCTTGAATTCTCGGAACGGCCGTGATCATCAGAATCCTCTCTGGAATTAGTCGTAGCTCGCATCTCCTTCGGTCGCTCGCCATGGTTCGGATCAAGGAAAGATATCTCCTCGTCAACATTCTTTACCCGCTGGACACCACTAGAAGAACAGACAGCAATGTTCCGGCCTTTGTCAGACGTCATCGGCCGACACCAGGCGACCTCTTGCCACGGGATCTCGTCAAAGGCATACGGCAACAAGTATCAGCGTTATTCGGAGACTATGGCTCCGGCGCATTTGAGGGTAACAACCTCGTTGGTGAGCTTCTTTCGATATTTGCGTCCAATTCAATCATTCGGGTCTGATTGTCTGGTAGTCAAATATTTCTCCAAGGCAACTTCCACCTTCATCTTGAAGGTCAAGAGAGCCCATTATCGCTTGGTCTGGGCGGCACTCACAACCATCAATTCACTTCCTCTGAGCTCTGGCAATGAGAAGTCATGTGTATTCAGTGTCGTGCGTGTCAGTGGAACAATACGCAAGGTTGAGGAAGCAGCTGTACATCAAGCCAGACAGCTAGTGCTAGCCGTCCGAGCAGAAGAAGCGTCCGATACACGACTTCCCACCATGCTTGAGCAGCCGACCACACTTGAGCGGCCAACCACAGCTCGCTCCTTACGTGATCGCAAAGGGGAAATCCCTATCATGCTTCCAAGCACATCCTGCAATGACGACAGCGATGAATTGGAACTCGCAGAGCGTCTTAATTCAAGCTGAAGACAGCTTAGGGGTATCATTCATGTTGAAGTTTTGCGCACTACCTTCACCCCGCTGTTGGCTGGTACATTCATATCCCCAAAATCGGGATCATGTACGCTCGACCCTCGGAAGCCCTGAGAGTTGTGAAGAGACGATGAATCTTCGCCCGGACGCTGGTCTGCCCCCTGACGCTGGTCTGCCCCCTCTCTCAACACCTCTTCCTCTTGCTCGAGCCTGTCGTACTCGACTTTTTGATCGACCCATCGTTCTTGAATGTCGAGAGCACCTAGCATAGACGACTCGTTCCTCATAGCTACTTGCCAGACAGTGTCGTTGGCCCCTTCAGCTGTACCAAAGACATACCCCCCAGCTCGATCGATCACCCTCAGGAGATGCATCATGCTCTTCTTATTCTCAACCGCCAGGACCTCAAAACGGACCAACCCGTAACTTTCTATCATATTAGCCACAGCCTCATTGAGCCGCCCAAACTTATCATTTCGCATGACGGGCGACTCTTCCTCAAGATAGGGCATAAGATAGGATACATCTTGTACGTCGGTGTAAAAGTCAAGGTTAAAAGGCAAAGGGTCATAGGAAGCGACTTTGTCGATTTTGCTCAGAACGTTGATGTGAGGCAAGTCCATCTGGAGCATGGCTCGCAATGACAGAAGGAGATTCGAGATATAGAGCGATGGTTGAGTCAAGCAGAAGGAGTCGGAGAGGTGGACGACGACAAGCTGTACAAAGTGCCCATCTATTAGCGCTGTAGTCGATACGGCGTATGATCAGGAAAGTTCATGGCTTACCCGATAACCAAGCTTTTGTAGTCTCAAGAAGATATTGCGAAGAGAACTGTGGTGCGTGTATAATTCAACTTGTCCTGGACAATCAAAAATGACATAGTCATCTCCAAGTTCTTTTAGACCTTCTTCGAGCCAGTCAATGTTATGTTCAAGTTCTTCTAGTGCGTACAATATTCCGCCATTAGGCCCGAGCCTGTCTCTCGCCATAATGTCCTCAAGCTTCGCTATACTGCGAATGTCGATGGCTTTGGGATAGTTGGCGTTCTCATTGGCAGGGTCCAGGTTGACCACGGAACAGGCACGTCCAATGGCGCTCAGAAACTGGTGCACTGTACCACTGTGAGCAAGCTGCGCGAGGACGAGAGACACACTCGGGGACTAAAGCGTACTTCCATCGCAGTATGTGCTCTTCCCTGCTCCAGGACTGCCCAGTACTAGTTGCGCAAACGGCATTGTTGGTACTCTTTTGCTTCTGTATGCGATGAAAATGATATATATCGTTTACGCGTTGTTTCGGTGGCGTATTTGGGGAATCGTGGAACGATGGAGCAGGTAGCGTCTCTGGTCAGTGATGAAATTAGGCGGCACCACTATCACAAGACTTATCAGAGCAGTGATCTTGGTGGGGGTGGCAGAAAGAATCATGACAGACATGTGCTTACGACAGTGCACGCGCCATCACATTTTGGGTAAGAGTGCCTGACCGCCTGGCCCAAGCTCCTCCTAATAAAAGCCCCTCGTAGCTAAGTCTTCTCCTGTTTTCAACTCAGAATTCTTTGCCCATTCTACATCCAGTTCCTTCCCACAGCGCCAGCCAGCTTCAAATGTGCTAGCTGTATGCCCACAATGTGACGTGGATCTTCTATGCGCACCATGCCGCTGCTATACCGACAAAAATTACTGCTCGTTAGTGACCACGACAATTGAAATGCCTGGTCCAACGACTGCCGGGCCATCGGGCTTGGCTAGTATCATCAAGGCCTCAACAGCCCCTCTGCCTTCGGCCTTGACCCGTGCTCAAGAAGTCGTGGCCACCCATGGGTCGTCGAGCTGGCTCGGTTTCTTTGCTTGGCTCATCATAGCCATACTACAGCTTGTCTCCTCAGTCTTGTATTGGACCATCCGCCTGGCCACCATCACAGTCCCTACTCTTCTGTTCCAACTCTTCTCCACGAGTTGGACAGTCACAATGAATGCAACCACTCTGTAAGTTCTCGCGCTTCGTTCGAGACGTCGCCTACGAGCAACCGCTTACAATGGTACAGCATGGTCATCACCGTCGCCCTTGTCTCCGCCGTTAGCTGGGTAGTTCGCTATCGCATACTCAACATGTACTCGCGTTTACCCCCAGAGCCTCAACGCAAGGAACCGGAAATTGATCTGTTCCCTGACACTCATGACGAGGGCGTCAAGTCAGGACTTTCGAGCTACCTAGACGAATTCCTGAGCGCTATCAAGATATTCGGTTATCTCGAGCGTCCTGTTTTCCACGAGTTGACTCGAAGTATGCAGACCCGAAAACTCATCGCTGGTGAAACCTTTAACCTCGAAGAGGAGAAAGGTTTCTGCATTGTGGTCGATGGGATGGTGGAAATCTTTGTCAAGTCTGGGAGGTCCTTTGGCTCCCCAGAAGCGAGCGCTAATTCCGAAGGCGACCCGTTGGATGGAGAAGACGATGCTTTGCCCCATGGTGAGCAATACCAGCTGCTTACGGAGGTCAAGAACGGGGCACCCATGTCGTCTTTATTCTCCATCATGTCCCTCTTTACCGAGGACATTAAACTCACGTCAACAGAGGCTGAAACGCCCGTAAGAAGCACTGCTTCCAGCGCCAATTACCGATTTTCTGGGGTCGCCCGAACTTCCGTCTCGCGGCATGTCTCCCAAGATGCCGCCGCGTCAATGCCTGGCACGCCGCGATTCGTTGACGTTGCTGAAAACAACAACGACCGTGTACATGAAGACTTGTCGCGCCCGTCATATGCAATCCCTAGCTCGAACCAGGCTGCAATTCCTCCGATTTCGCTCGACGGGTCAGAGCCCAAGCGGATAGCAGTCCGTCCTACACTTCCAGGTAGAGCAGCTTCGACATCGGCCCATCCAGATATCATCGCCAGGGCCACAGTCGACACGACGATCGCCATAATTCCTGCCAGCGCTTTTCGACGACTTACCAAGGTTTATCCAAAAGCCACTTCGCACATAGTTCATGTCATTCTATCCCGCTTCCAGCGGGTGACACTTGCCACGGCATACAGATACCTTGGGTTGACGTCAGAGGTATTGTTGACAGAGAAAAGCATGAATAGATATACAACGTGGCAACTTCCTAACATGCTTCGGGGCGATGCATTGCTACGCCTCAAGGAAAAATTTGGCCGCGAGCGTCAACGCGCTGGCGAAGATTCGGAAACCAAAGGCATCGCGCTACACAATGCGAATGCCCATCGACGTCGAAAGTCAAGCGTCATGCTGCGCAAAGATGCCGTGTTGCATTCAATGTCCAAGCAAACTTCCTACGTCGCCACGACTATCGCCCCTCCAGGAGAGAGGCTGGCTACCCAGACGCCTAGTCCCGGAGACCTATTGGCCACTACGAACATGTCTCGAGAAGTTCCTGGTCACAATTTCACAGACTCACCTGTTGAGCATGTTGCAGAAGCCATGCGTCTGGATCAAACCAGCCCCTTGGCACAGCGAACATTTAACCCTTTCGCTAGTGTCAACACTTCGCGCGTGCCACTCGACCCGCGAGACGTCGCCGATGAGGACAACCTCTTCCGGACCTCGATTCTTGAATGCATGTTTCGAGCGATCGGCCTAGGCGTCGGCGGAACTGTTTCGCGGGAGCCTGAATCCATGGAGGGATCACCTAGGCTATTTTCGTATGATCAGCGACGCCAGAAAGCCATGTTTGGAAATCACAATGCTTTTGGCATCATGGACCCCTTCGACGGCTCGGTTGATGGCGATACGGAGTCATTGACATCTGGTGGCCTTGCACTGAATACTCCGCCCAGCGCCCAATCACTGGCCAATGATTTGCGTGATGACGCCGAGATTGTTTTCTTTCCCCAAGGCTCAGTTCTCGTTGAGCAAGGCGAACGCAACCCCGGACTTTACTACGTTATCGACGGCTTCCTCGATATTTGCACCACCAGCGAGGAGTCTTCCGCAAGCATCCTTCAGCCTGGGGTACGAGCATCAACAGCGGGCTTGACTTCTGGCGCAACTCCTGCGCCTGATCACAACATCCATGGCAGGGACAATGCTCAAGACAAGCGCAAGAAGTCCGTGCGTCGCAGTGTATCCTTGATTAAACCGGGGGGCCTTGCTGGTTACATTGGCGCATTATCTTCGTACCGTTCATTCATCGATGTCGTTGCGAAGACTGATGTCTATGTCGGTTTCTTACCCCGTGCATCCCTTGAAAGGATTGTAGATCGGTACCCTATCATCCTTTTGACGATGGCCAAGAGGCTGACAAGTCTTTTGCCGCGCCTTCTCCTTCACATCGACTTTGCTCTGGATTGGGACCAGGTCAGCGCTGGCCAGGTCATATTCCACAACGGCGACGAGAGCGAGGCGATCTACATTGTCTTGAATGGACGTCTTCGTCTCGTCGAGGACCGCGAAGGCGGTGGCATGACTGCACGAGCCGAGTTTGGCCAGGGCGACAGTGTAGGTGAGTTGGAAGTACTCACCGAGTCGGCCCGCACCGGAACTTTACATGCCATCCGAGACACAGAGCTTGTAAGATTTCCGCGAACGCTTTTCAACAGTCTAGCTCAAGAGCATCCGAACATCACTATCAAGATATCAAAAATCATTGCTGCCCGTATGCGCAGTTTGGTAGATGATCCAGCCCAGCTAATGGCAAATGAAGCTGGGCTCTCTGCGTTAGGCAAAGGCTCGTCGGCGCTCAACTTGCGGACAGTAGCTGTGCTTCCTGTGACCGCAGGCGTACCAGTCGTTGAGTTTGGCCATCGTTTGCTGAATGCTCTGGTACAAGTCGGCCCAGTCAACGGCGCGATTTCGTTGAACCAGTCCGCGATTCTCAACCACCTTGGCAAGCACGCTTTCAATAAAATGGGCAAGCTGAAGCTATCCCAATACCTCGCGGATCTGGAGGAAAAGTACGGCTTAGTGGTCTACGTCGCAGGTATGTCGCTTTTTACTCAACCGCTCTTCCAGTCACGCCTCTTTTTATGATGAGCAAATCCTGTTTCCAGAGGCCAAGCCGCTGATGGCCAAACATAACTCTAATTTTTTCCTGAACTCGAGAACCCTTTCAACAAGCACATGCGCTCTATGTTGAAGGCAACTTGCTAACCACGCTGTGCTATTGACCAGACACAAACGTCAATTCGCCCTGGACGCAGACTTGTATCGCACAAGCCGATTCTATATTGCTGGTGGGCTTGGGCGAGGGCTCCCCTGAGATTGGTGAGTACGAGCGCTTCATGCTGGGCATGAAGTCAACCGCGCGCAAGATCCTGGTTCTGCTCCACGCTGAGCGGTATTCGTCACCTGGTCTGACCAGGTCCTGGCTTCGAAATCGAATGTGGATTAATGGCGGTCACTATCACCTGCAAATGGCTTTCAGAACCAACATGATGCCATCCCACCCCCCTTCCAAGAGATCAAACACGACACTGAAGGAGCGTGTCCAGATCTTGCAGGCTGAGATCCAGAAATACACCTCAAGAAAGGTTCGACACACGCCCTACTACTCGCCTGATGCACCATTCAAGGGCGATTTTCATCGTCTGGCCCGACGGTTATGTGGCAAGTCGGTGGGTCTCGTGCTCGGAGGTGGTGGCGCTCGAGGCATCACTCAGATCGGCATCATTCAGGCTATGGAGGAAGCTGGCATTCCCATTGATGTTGTGGGTGGAACATCAATGGGATCGTTTGTTGGTGCCCTCTACGCAAGGCACGCAGACATAGTGCCCATTTTCGGCTTGGCGAAGAAATTCTCAGGCCGGATGGCTAGTATGTGGCGCTTCGCACTCGACTTGACTTACCCGACATCCTCATACACCACCGGGCACGAATTCAACCGCGGCATTTTCAAGACCTTTGGCAAGGCCCAGATAGAAGACTTCTGGCTCGAGTTCTACTGCAATACCACCAACATCAGCAAGAGCCGGGCGGAGTACCATACAAGTGGGTACGCCTGGCGGTACATTCGAGCGTCCATGTCTCTGGCGGGTTTACTTCCTCCCCTATCAGACGAAGGAAGCATGTTGTTGGATGGTGGATATATCGACAACCTGACGGTTTCTCACATGAAGAGGCTGGGCGTTGATACGATCTTTGCCGTCGATGTCGGCTCGTTGGATGACGATACCCCCCAGAGCTATGGCGACTCTCTTTCAGGAGTTTGGGCGTTTTTCAACAGGTGGAATCCCTTCTCAACAACGCCCAACCCGCCAACTTTGGCAGAGATTCAGGCACGATTAGCATACGTGTCCAGTGTAGACGCCCTGGAGCGTGCCAAAGCTATGCCTGGATGCTTATACATGCGACCTCCCATCGACGATTATGGTACGCTCGACTTTGGGAAGTTTGACGAAATTTATCAGGTGGGCTACAAATATGGACAAGAGTTCTTACAGAAGATGAAGGACGATGGTGTCTTGCCGCTGGTCGAAGAGACGGAAGCCAAGAAAGCATTGCGCAGGACAATGGCACCTCGCCGCGCCAGTATTTAGAATGCCTCGTATTGCCGCTCGGCAGATGCCTCGTATGTTGGCCATCCATGCAAACGTGTCGTGATCGAATCAATGGCGGGCTCGACCAACCTTTCAAGGTCATGCGTCGTTCTGTCCATACAGGTCCCCACGATCCCGCGCATAATCTGCGGGACACTAGGTTCAGGGGTTTGTCTACTGTGTCACGAGATGCACCCTGGTGTTTTCTTGTGTGAGGGGTCGGGCCACCACTGCTATAAACACTGTCCAATCCCGAAGGCGCTGCGTTGCTTTTTCGCGCCGGCATTGGGCACGTAAGGGCTGTCGAGGAGAAACAATCGGGCGATCTCTGTGACGTCACCGGCATAGAATGACGAAAGCTTCAATTGCTGACCCAATGCGGCAATGTTGGATGTGTGTATCCACATGCCGAGGATCACCGCAGCTGCGGACTGCGCATTGAAAGCCTTCGGAGGTGGAGTCCTCAGACATACCGCTCAAACGAGCCTTTCTCAGTTACGTAGGTGGCCGGGGCATCGTCGGGCGAGAAGAGGTATGCGGTGAGTGTCTCTGGATCGTTGGGCAGGCATCTCCATTCGACGCAGCACGTCGATGATCGCTTTCAGTGGTCGATGCAAGCGGGCTCTGCTGAAATGCTTTTAAGGCCCTAGGCTTCCTCTCCTTGGGCATGTTCCAACCATGGTACACATGAAAGCAACCGATCCAGCGGTCGACCGATCAACACTATACAAACTGTGCCTTAGGCTCAGCTGCCAGGACTTCTAATCACGTTTGACGTGTACCGACCGACCCCATCCCTCTACTTCATCGTTGTACCGGAGCAGGGGCTTTTCCTGATCCCCGATGTCCATCGCCCAGCCTCTGGAAACGCGCAAACACACGAGCTACGAAGCTACACAGTACAGCACCCGACATGTCGCGTTCGGCGAGATCTCACACAACGCGTGGCCGTTCAGGGAGCGTGGAGGCGAGTGCTGAATCAGGAAGAGAAAGGCATCCCGCGGACTTCAAATTCAACTGGACCCCTGTCATCCTGGTTGGACTCATCAGCACGACCATGTGGGGGCCATTCAACCGGACGCTAGACAAGTGCAACAAGCGTCACGAAGAAGAAGACCGCATTGAAGAACAAAGGAGGCAGGAGCAGGAAGAGCGCATGAGGAGGGTGGAGAGGAGACGTGCAAGAGCCCAGAGCATGTATGACTTTGAGGAGTCACAATCCGACCCATACCAGCGGCCCGAGCGTAGGCAAGGCGGCAGAATGGCAGGGGAAGAAGATGGAAACCGGCGGCGCCGGGGTCGGAGTGCAGTTGGAGGCAGACTTCAAAGTGCCGTCAGAGCTGGCGCAGTTGAGCAACCCCAGCCTCGATGGGCGGCTGACGAAAGGTACGGTCGCGTCTATGAATATGAGGTTATTGAGGCACCAGAAGTAGATCGCCGGAGAACGCGGTCAAGGAGGCGGGACAGATCATGGTGACATATTCGGTGGCTGCTGGAGGGTTTCTGACTATCTTGACGCATTCGACACGGGCTGACCGGCTTCTGATCCGATCAAACAAGACATGTGCTGTGCAGGCTGTCTGGATTAGGTACATCTTTGTTGACTACCTAGAAAGTCAAGGTGCCGGACGTAGCATTGAACAATGCCCATTAAAAGCAAGGATAATGTGCGCAGTATTCCAGAGTCTTGCAGCACTGTGGAGTGAGTGCCACATGACCACGAACCAGCTGACATTCTTTAAGGGTGGGATAAACGCGTCCTGCTGTAGAGACGTTTTGCCCCACGTCCCCAGAACGCGGTACCCCTGTTCCATTGGGGACCCTGCATGGCACTGTCGCGTTGTTGTCCCCTAGGTACCTAGGTAGGTAGAGACAGTGTGGATTCCAGTACCGTGTTTAGCCCCCATCCCAGCATTCATCACCTTGTCTCCCCCCCTTCAACCACATCGCCTTGGAGGTCCTCCAAAGATCGCTCTAGGTCATCGTCGTCGGAACGCGACAATACCCGCGTCCATGCCGCTCGCTATATCCACAACCCAAGGAGAACTTCAACCCACTGATCACATGCGACTCTCAAGGCCGACTGACCATGTCTTTTTCCTCGGAGCGAAGAGCATCTAGCTCGAGACGCCAGTCGAGCACCAACCTCAGCCCCCGAGACCACGATGTCGAACTGTCGCAATCATTGAACAAACTGTCCTTGTCAGCCTCGCCTGCAGTCAGCAGAGCGCCGCGAAGCCCCAGCGCCCTGTCTCCTTACAGATCATCTGCCAACCGGTCCTCGACCTCACCTGCGCCTGGAAGCACATCAGGCCGTAGCCCCTCTCTGAGCCGAGCCTCTCCGTCACGATCTTCCACACCCACCCTCCTGCGCAAAGCGTCGACCAGTTCGCTGCGCTCGGCGAACGGACGTACTCCGAGTCAACCACCTTCTCGTCGCTCAAGCTTAGCCCACGTCTCCTCGCCATCCCAGACGTCTGCCGTCACCGAGGAACCCCCCAAGACACCGATGACTGCCAGCTCAGTCGCAAGCGAATACTTCCAAAACGAGTTGAACCTGTGCCATGCTCTCTCCACAACTCAGCAAACACACGCCGCTGTCATTCTCTCTGACGCGTGCTACGGACATCGTTACTCCCGCCCCAAGACATCACGCGCCGCCCTCAGCACTATTGTGGAGCGCCCCGAAAGAATCAAGGCTGGCGCCCTCGGGGTAGCCATGGCATACGTGCGCCTCGGAGGTCGTCATTGCGATGGCGACTATCCAGCTCACCCGAAGCTCGACCCGACCTCGATACCTACCGTACCTTTCAAGATTCATAAGACGACGCGCAAGCTTCCACTTCTCTCACCCGCCGTGACGAACGTGCATGGTTCCAAGTGGATGGAGGAACTGAGAACCATGTGCCGGCTTGCCGAATCCAAACTCGCCATGGGCGGCAAGGAGCTGGCGAGGCCTGAGAGCGGCCGGACTGCGACACGGGCGCCGCTGCCAAGCTCCACGAAGGCGACCTCTACCTTTGCGCCGACTCCCTGGATGCCCTGGAGGGCGCTCTCGGGGCTGTCTGCGAAGCAGTCGACCTGGTCTTTTCTGATGGCCCGCGCCGTGCTTTCGTTGCGGTCAGGCCACCGGGTCACCATTGTTCCGCATCCTACCCGTCCGGCTTTTGCTGGGTGAACAACGTGCATGTTGGCGTCATGCACGCGGCGCTGACCCACGGGCTGACACATGCTGCCATTATCGACTTTGACTTACATCACGGCGACGGTTCCCAGTCGATAGCGTGGCAACACAATACTCGTGGTGTTTCTGCCGCCAAGAACGCGCAGGCGTGGAAGAAGACCTCCATCGGCTACTTCAGTCTTCACGACATAAACTCCTATCCTTGCGAAATGGGTGACGAGGAAAAGGTCAAGAACGCCAGTCTGTGCATTGAAAATGCCCATGGCCAAAATATGTGGAACGTACATCTTCACTCGTGGGGCTCGGAGGCCGAGTTCTGGAAGCTCTACGAGACAAAATACACCGTCATACTCGAGAAGACACGCTCTTATCTGCAACAGCAGGCTGCGCGCTTGCGCGCCAATGGCCAGACGCCCAAGGCTGCCATCTTCTTTTCTGCCGGCTTTGACGCCAGCGAGTGGGAAACCAAGGGTATGCAGCGTCATAATGTGAACGTGCCCACCGAATTCTATGCACGCATCACACAAGATGTGATCAGAATAGCCGCGGAGGAGGGACTGGGTGTCGATGGCAGAGTCGTCAGCGTTCTCGAAGGCGGCTACAGCGACAGAGCGCTGTTCTCAGGCATTTTCAGTCACGTCTGTGGCCTTGCCGGTGACCAGTCGAACCCCGGACCACCAAGGGGTCGAGGGGGCCTGGCGTATGAAATCAGCCACAGGATTGGCATTATAGAAGAAGGGGAACCTGCAGTTCAGTCACCCGAGCCGGCTGGACCGTACGAGCCACTACCCGAGTCGCAAAACCTGTCATCGCTGCATGCATACGACCCGTCATGGTGGTCGAGTGCAGAGCTTGATAACCTCGAGGTTGCCATGGGGGCCCCTCCTCTTGAACCCAAGATGCCGCGTTATGCGACGCCACCAACCTACTCATCCCCCACACAGGCGTCGACAGCTCGAGTCGTCAACCCTGCCAAAATGCGTCGAAGCCTGTCAGGCCTTTCGGCAACAAATGGGCCCATCTCCCGACCTCCAACGCCTCCAGCTCCCGAGGTGCCGTGGACTGTTGCTGCGCATGAACTCAGCAAGCTGCTCATACCCTCTGACCGACAAACCGACAGCTGCACGGCCGAAGATCTCAATGCCGAGGCGACCCGGGCGCGCCGGGACCGGCAGTCCCTCCTCCAGCCAACGGTACCGGCACCAGCGACTACCGCAAACGCTAGTAGCCGACCGTCGTCCCGCATGTCGTTGCGTGAGCGCAAGCCCGCCAAAGCACCAGCATACACCGAAAGCGGCAATGGCGCGAACGATGACAAGCACTCAAAAAGTCGCAGGAAAACCGTTGCTGGAGCCGCTGTTCTTGCTACGGACAAGGTAAGTCCTTCGCTCTTGGATGAACTGGATCAAGGTGGCACTGTCGCTGACGCGTGGACAGCCATCTTCTGGGGTGTCCCCCATTCCTGCTGCTACGCCCGACTCTCAGAGAACTGGCCGTCGGGTGAGCGCGGCCTCGACGATGACCACTATACCTCCTGCCCCTGAACCACGCACACAGAGCAGCACTGGGGGTTCTCAAGGCGAATCTTCTAGCACCAGACCAGACATGCTAAAGGGTGCCAGGGCACCCGGCGACAACACTTCACTCGCTGTAAAGAAGACGAGAACGCCAATTGCCACCAGAGGAGGGCCAAGCCGCGGACCGCGGGGAGGAAAAAAGACTACGAACCCCAAAACCGAGCCAAATGCTGAGCTTGTCGGGCCTGTCGGGTCTACTCAGGTATCATTGCCTAACCATGGCCGGCAGGTCTCAGCTCATCCGCCAAGTGATGATCTGGACAAGATTACAACGGGCATGAAGAAGATCAAGATCAATCTCATTACAAAGTCTCAGAAGGAGGAAAGAGCGCGGTCATCACAGGCAGCGGCAGCGGCAGCGGCAGCGACAGCAGCAGCACCCGTCACCCGAACGGAGCCCGGCCCAGCAGGGAACCAGTCTGCTCCCCGATCTGCGTCCGAATTTCTACCTCAGCCAGACGTCGCTCAACCGCCAGTGGTTGATGAGACGACTTCGGCTCTGGCCGTTGAAGAAAGTGCCGAGACCCAGCCGGCATTGACGGTGAAGCCTGAGATAGGCGCTCATGAGGGCCCAGTGAGCGCGCAGTTACCGCTTTCTTCAGATGTGCCTGAGCACAAGGTCTTGCCGACTCATTCCTTTGCAAGGCCGGCATCTTCTCAGAAGGCACAGCAAGACGGCGCGGACCAGAGCCCTGCACTGGAGCTGACTTCCAATACAAGCCCAGAGATGTTTGTAGCTTACCAGGCAGAGGGCCCTGCACCGATGTCTGTACCGCAGCAGGGCTCGCTGAGATGGCTTCCACCCAACACCTCAACACCTGCCACGGCGAGGCGAACAGATCTTCCCGTTTTTACCTCGACATCCGCCATTCCGTTTGCTGTAGCACAGAAACCCTCGCAATCAACGGCTCACGAAGAAGACCTCAAAGAGACAGGAGCGAAACGAGAGCACCCACGTGAGGGCTAGCATCGCCATCTCAAGGCGAGACGCAATGCGCTGGAGCTGGTCAGGAAACCACCTCTCTCCTAATGTCGCTTACAGAAATGGCGTCGCAAGGATTGTTGTTCTTTTCGTTCGTGTTTATGCTTCTTATCTTCGCAAGTTCCCAGCTGGTGGTGTTGAGTCTGCGTAGTGGGTCTGAGCTTTTAATCGGATGTTGCTTAGAAGCTATCCATTGATACCCTTTTCACGCCTCTGTCTGCTATTTATTTCTGCATGCAAGCCATCGAGCGAGGGGCTAGTGTGCGCTTGCATTTCATGCAATTCATTTGGTGTAGCCTGGCGCAGTCACGCAGACATGGCAGAGCGCCACTGGTCAGCCGTCGATGAGGCAGGGGACTCTTTTGCCTTTGATTGTTTGCAGTGGCTTCGTATGGATATCATGGCATGGAACATGATCAGGCACGTTGCGAGGGTGACTGGCTGAGATTTGTCTGTGGGGATTGTCTGAATAAAAAAGTGGGATAGCGACTGGGTGAGCGGGGGCAGTACCTACACCTAAGGTACCGTACCGACTTTATCTAGGTAGGCTACCTACTTACCTAGACAGCCTTGTCTTCACATGAGCCTGCGCGCGATATCGCTGTCATGACCACCAGCTCCGACGTTGCTTACTACCACGCACCTCGTTCACGCCTCCATCATCGTCATCGTCAGCAAGCAGTGTGACCAGGCGTTGGAACCGTGCAAGATTTCTCCCGCCTGCCAACATGGCGTTTACCATGCACTCGCACTCGGGGCAATTCTGTCCCGGCCATGCCAAGGACCAGCTCGAAGACATTATTCGTCATGCCATCAGCATGGGATACAAGACGATGGGCCTCACTGAGCACATGCCCCGACTGCAAGTCTCGGACCTGTATCCAGAAGAGCTCACTGGCGATCCCGATGAGGCCGTCGCTGTGCTCACGCCCCGCCACGAAGCCTACCTCATCGAGGCCCAGCGCCTGCAGGCCAAGTATGCCCCTCAGATCCACGTCCTGATCGGCTTCGAAGGCGAATGGTACCGCCCCGCCTACGGGCCCTACATCACGACCCTCGCCGCCCACCCAGCTGTCGACTACTTCATCGGCAGTATCCACCACGTCAACGCCATACCCATTGACTACGATGCCGCCACGTACGCCCAGGCACGAGAGTCGTCGGGGGGCACCGAGGAGCGCATGTACGAGCGATACTACGACCAGCAGCACGAGATGCTGACCGCCCTGCGGCCGCGGGTCGTCGGCCACTTTGACCTGATTCGCCTCTTGAGTGAGGATCCCGGACGAGACGTCAGCGCGTGGGCCGGCGTCTGGCAGCGTATCGTGCGAAATCTCGAGCTTGTCAGGAGTTTTGACGGCTTGTTGGAATGCAACAGTGCCGCCCTGAGGAAAGGTCTGGCCGAACCGTATCCGAACCGTCTCATCTCCGAGGTATGTTGAACTGGTCCTGTATTCGTCTCGCAGTTTTTTTTCCCTTCACCTTTCTCCTCCCTTTTTTGGAGCAAACACTAACCCCCTCAGAAATGGTTGTCCATGGGAGGACGCTTTACCTTTTCCGATGACAGCCACGGCATTGACCAGGTAGCGACCAACTACTTGCGCAATATCGATTATCTAGAGAGTCTCGGTGTATCGACCGTATACACTTTGGAGAGGCTGACCTCGGCGGCATCATCCACTGCATGCACCAAGGCTACGCTCGCTGAGAAGCCGGTATCGTTGTCGACCTTTCGGGAGACGCTGGCTCTCTGATAGCCGTAATGCGATGTATCGCGCCTTGATATACGGTATTGCTGTTTGCTAATCTCGATCTCATCTTGTATGTAGTCAAATGGTGGGCGGACTGACTGGATCATCTTGCCCGTGTCAGTCCTGCCAGGTGCATTTTCGAGGGCCGAATGCAGAGCCGGCATCTAGAGAGACGGACCGGCCAAGCCCGGCTGCGGAGCCCCGCTTTATGTGAACCGATCATATGTCCCACTGTACAGGACCCGTGACCATGACATGAACCCCTCTCAGCCTGCTCCAACTGTCATTCTTCTCTCATCGTCAACTCAAGAACGTTCAAGACATTGTATAAGAAAGATTGGCTCGCCATATCGCACATGATGAAAGTCACAGCCGTAAGACTCTTTTCCCAACGTAACATGTTCTCCTCCATCTCACCGCCGGCGTTCCCTAGCTCTACGTGTATCCCATCAAGGGCCTCCGCGCCATTCCCTTGACCACGGCAACCTTTACCCGGCAGGGCATTTCGCACGACCGCACCTTTATGCTCCTCCAGGTCCTCGAGTCGGGGTCGCTCAAGCGAATGCAACTGTCCGACTTTCCGGCCTGCGCGCTGTTCGAGCAGGAACTCGTCGACGACACGATCCGCGTGCGCTACCACGTCCCCGAGGTGCCGCTGGCGCCCGACCATCCGCTGCAGCACCAGCCGCTGAGCGTGCCGCTGACGCCTGAGGACCTCGCCTCGCTCGACGAGGTCGACGTCGACCTGCACAACAGCCCCGTGCGCGCCCGCAGGGTGGGCGACGCGCAGGACGCGTGGTTCTCCGCCTGCTTCGGCTTCCCGACGACCCTCGTGTACATTGGCGACGGCCGCCGCGCCGTCGTCGGCCCCAACTTTCTACCGCCCGGGTCTGGATCCGGCGCGCCGACAAAGCCCAGCACGGGCTGGCTGTCGTCCGTCTCGTCGTACGTCACGAGCTTCACGCAGCCCACGGCGCCAGCGGATGAGGAGGAGCAGAACGACGTCTGGCTGACGTTCACCGACTGCGCACCCTTTCTCGTCACCTCCGAGGCCTCGCTCGCCGCCGTCAGCGCGCGTCTGCCGCCCGTCGCCCCGGCCGAGATGATCAAGTTCCGGCCCAACGTCGTCGTCGACGCCGACGGCGCGGGCGCGTGGGACGAGGACTTTTGGGCCGAGCTCGGCCTGCCGGGCGACCGCCGCCTGCAGCTGACGGCCAACTGCGTGCGCTGCACGTCGCTCAACGTCGACTACGCCACGGGGCGGACGGCGCAGGGCGAGGCGGGCACGGTGCTCAAGAAGCTCATGAAGGACAGGCGCGTCGACAAGGGCAGCAGGTGGTCCCCCGTCTTTGGGCGCTACGCCTTCCTCGCGGGCCGCGACCCTCTGGTCGTCCGCGTCGGTGACGAGGTCGGCGTCGTCAGGCGCAACGAGGAGCGCTCCGTGTACGACTGGCCCATGCACAGCAAGCCTCCAGTGAAAAGGCCGGCGTGAGGGACGACGACGAAGCCAATTGGAATCCGTGTTGCCTTCGTCCACGCGTAACGTTGCGTTTGCGTGGCAGTGTCGTGCAAGCGAGCTGCGACACGACCCCTTTCTGACACCACTGCCACGCCGCTTTTCCAAAAATCGCCTTCTCTCGCTTCGGCCCGTCATCGATGGGTGCCAGACGAGACCCGATAGCCAGGCGAAAGGGGGCGGCGGCGGCAGCGGCAGAAGCATTTCAGCATGGCACGGCGTGGCATGCCGAGCGCCACGTTCACATGTCTTGTCAAGCGAATGGCCACGTAGAACTAGGTAGTATGACATTACGTCAGAAGCCGCACGTCACACGCGTTACACGTCACACGCGTTACACGTCACACGTCGCCTGCGTGTCGGCATGGGAAGGAGAGGCTGAATACAGGGCGACCGGTGATACGACATTGTAACTGATGCAGGTACAGAGACGTTTGTGCAGCCAAACTGGCAACCCAGATGTCCCACGCAAACCAATATGGCTCCACTCATCTTTACTCTAAGGATATCTCCTTGTCAGGATGTCACTACTTCGCATCAGGCAGCAAGTCTACACAGTGAGATGGACCAGCCAGGATGTCGGCGGGAAGTTAGGCACAAGGAAGACCACCCTTTGTACGATATAAGCCAACTATACCGGCTGTCCGAATCAAACACAAACAACAAGTAGCGCAAAGAATGTTCAACACCGAGAGGCGAGTTCTGTATTGTCATAATACAGATAGTCTAAGACGGGGAAAGGGGTATGCAACCCAACTAAGGAGAAGGAAAGGGGGGGTATCGGACCAGAAACTCCAAGACGCAACGTCAGATAGGGCAAATAGAATCTTGGGGGACAAGAGCAGAGGGGAGAAAAACAAGGCACACAAGAGCATGCCTAGCCGTGACAGGTAACAAGGTTGTTGTGTTGTTGATGCCAGGCTCAGTCCAGGCAGTCGGGCAGCGAGATCCGATGAGAAAAGACGCCAGTCGGATTCGAATGGAAATGGCACCAGGGGCCTGGTTGGGGACGCTAACGAAGCTCGAAGGCCCCCTTGAACCCCTGGAGCTGGGGGAGGCGATCGTTCCAATGCTTCCCGTCACCGTGTCTTCGAACGCCATGGTGGGGGGTGGTGGGTGGGTGGCGCGGACTCTGACAGGCTAGACAAACGACAGGAGATGGCAAGACGTAGCCATCAAGATACAATAACGGACCAAAGGGCAAAAGGGGCAAGGGGCAAAAGTGTAGATAACATCAAAGACAGGAGTTGACTGGCGTGGGCGGATAAAAAGAAATAGGTGAGGTAAGGGTACAGGGTAAATAGCAAAAAAAAAAAAAAAAAAAAAAAAAAAGAGGGGAATCGGACCAGAGCCAAAGGTGAGAGAGAGACAGAGAAAAGGTACAGAAAGAGGGGGCCATGAGATCGCCAGTAAGCGAGGACGATGGTGGCTGAGGAGCGGCACAACCGAGTGACGCCCCCCATGGCGATCGGCGACAGCCCGAGTGGTCCAGTAGCGATGTCTGGGCCCCAGCGTCTTTCAGATGTGCCTGGCAAGCCTGGCATGCCTGGGCATGTTCAGGCCTCCCCCCCACTCCTTCTGAGCCACAGAAGCCACAGCGGCCCACGTGCGCTGTGCAGGTCGACTGCAGCATCAGTGCAGGTTCCTAGAATTGGCGCCAGGCATTTCCCCTGTTGCCTGCTCGGCCCCCCCCTGTCGGGCCTTGTGTTGTAGAATCCTACATGTATGTCGACATGTTTAATTGGCTGCGTTCTCGTTGCTGTTCCTCGCCGACTCGGGTCGCGTGGCTCCTGAAGATGCTCCGTGTCCGTGTGCCTGTCCAGCATCTTGTCAAGGTCTCTTTGTGATGCCGAGAGGAGAGGGGCGGAGACCGGAGCCTGGGCCAGCGGAAGTACCAAAGCCGAGCAAGTGCCATGTGGGTGTCGTGAGGAGGGACCCAGGTCGACAGAAGGGGGGCTGAAAGGATGTCATGATCGAGCAAGATCTGATGACCGGCCGGTGATGGCGCGGGTGCTGGCGAATGGGTCGAGGCAAGAAAGAAAGCCTGCCACAGTGCAATTGACAAGACCGAGTGTCCAATACACCAAAGCCGCGTCGTCGTGTCGTCCAGGTCAGGCAGGCGGTTCGGTTCGTCGACTCTGGGTCTCGGGGAGGGGCCAGCAACTTGCCATGGGCAGATGAATGTTCCTTCATTTCCAGGGCCCATGGCCAGTCGCGTCTCTCTCCAGTCGCAGTCGTCTCGTCCACGTCGTCTGCCCAACGTGAACATCCGAGTCAGCTTGCCTGCAGCACTAGGGCGCCAGCAAAAGAACTTTCTGAGGGAAATGAGCAGAAGCCACCGGGCAGCCACCACCGCCCCTCCCCCCCCTCCTCCTTCCTCCCCCGTCCGCCCTGCCGTTGTTCGTCCCTGCTTGCACCGTCGGGTGTCATTGCAGCAGTAGGCGAGCACTTGTATTTCCTACCGATCCAGAGTGGTGGGTCCGCCCCGGAGGCGCTATGCAATCTGCCTGCTCAAGGCATATGCAGGAGAGCGGCAGGAGAAGCGCAGGGTGACGGAGGAGACAGAGGATGACAAGACAGGCGAGAGAATGAAGCAGCGCCCAAACGTACCTGCAGTTGATGCCACGACTGAAAAGAGGCGAATGTCCGTCCAATCAGTACCACCGTACCCTCGAGGCCTGCAGTGGTTGAGCCTCGACATCTGAACCCCCCGCCCCCTCCCCCAGGCGGCCCCTCTTTCAGACGCCTCGGGTGCATGGGCGGCACGTGTGAAGTCTGCAGTATTGACATTCAAAGATCCACCAGTGAGGACCAGAATGACAGAGGTTGCAAGTCCACTGGATCAACGTGTTGTCCGATTTTATGAGCTTGAAGGAGTGTGCACATGCGCCGGCGACCGCCATCGTAGCCGCCTCGTGATAGATCGTGCGTCGTTGCGGGTGGGTAGAGATGTGTTTCTTTTGACCGGCAGCCGAGCCGACGGTAGTGGGTTTTGACAGGCGCGGGTTTTGTCCCAGATGGGCACGTTCGGGAATCTGGGAACGAGTCAGTCAGGTTTCACCATGGCATGTCTGTTCAGAGTAGACAGCGCCGAGGAGTTGCACTCACGCTCGCAACGCAAGGCAGTGGTTTGTTCGACAACAGGGAGCCGCGGCAGGTTGTCCGAGGTCAGCGCAGGACGCAGTTCCAGGGTGTCTGACACACGAAATGTCCAGCAACTCGGACTGTGTGTCTGAGACGCGAAAGTTCGGGAACAAGGGAACGGTCGCTTGGGTTTGTTGGAAAGAATAATGTCCTTTGCACTCGACTGAAGCAAAGCGTTCCGGTCCTTTTCTCAACAGAAAGAGCGTCAAGAAAATGCAGCTGCTCTGGGCTGTAATCCCACCAGCAGCGATGCTTTTAAACAAGGCCTCCCAAGGAAGCCCTCGATTTTGACAATCAAACACAGTGTCTGGCAGTGGTGCTGCTGCGAGGCGCCGAGAGACTGTTTGCTTGCTGGCGGCTTCGGTCCACCACAGGACAGGATTCGTCAGGGCGTTCGGAGTGATGCGTGACGTCGGCAGGCGTTCGATTCGTAGAAGAGCTGCCTGACCGCTATTATGATGCAGTGCCAATCTAGATTGCACTCGGTTGCGATGATAGTGAGGCGAGATGTGTTTGCTGTCGCTGGGACGCTCCTCCTGAGTGGCTTACACTTCTACTCGTGTGTATCACACAACCAGGGGGGGTAACGGACAGGTTGTTTTTGCAGACGGATGTTCGTGACGCGGCTGAGCGGGAGAATATAGGCCGTTCAGTAAATGGACCTTCTCTGAGACAAGCTCGTCGTGTGTAGTTGATGTGTCGAAGGGACGGCTGTCTTGTCGATGCTGGAAAGGATGGAGGGGAGCAAGTAGGGTAGGTATTTGGCTTTGGGAAAGTGGCAGGCAGCAGTGGTGTTGAGTGGTTCGGTCGTATGGAAGCACGTCCTGGAAGGTGCGGTGACTATCAACAGCGATTGAAGAAGGTACGTCAAAGAATGTGAAGGGTCCGAGAAGCCGGCATGATACCGGTGGGGGAGGATTGAGTCGATATCTTATGTATCATGGAGAGCGTCGTCAGAGGGCACGACATGGGAGGGCAACGAATGAAACTAGGACTAGCCGTCGACGCCGGTCTAGCATCTGTCATTGCGGCTTGACATGATGGCCAAGCTCGGGACCAGCCAGAACAGACGTACCAGGACCTGCGGACGGGAACCTCTGGGTACCGCCCGGCTGGCCGACCGATCTCCACTTGCAAGACGACAACAGAATTTGAACCTGGCCGGCTCCCAACCCTCGCGATGGCGTGTCCGTACAGACATCCAATGTTCTTCTGTCTTCTATTGGGGCAGGACCCCTCTAGTGGTGCTGCTTCCGACCTCACCAACCCTGTCAGGACCCGCGCCAGCCCTGCACTGACGACCCAGTACCTAGCAACCTGACCACTGGTAGCCAGAGGCTGATTGACCATGGCATGGTGATGGAGTCGCAGGCTGTCAGTTAGCCGCGTCGCGCCGCGAAATGCCGCCGTTGCCCAATGACCACCTACCTTAGCGTACCAAGCCGTCCAGACAAGCTGGGGTGATCCGACAGGGGGGGTAGCAGAAGGAGGGGTTTTCCCGATGTAGCATGGTGTACTGTTGTTGTCTCTGATCTTGGGATGATTGATGGGCCGAGGGGCATGGCATTTCGTGGCTGATAGCCAACTTGGCGATCTACCTGAACTTGATCATGATGTCTTCGCATCGGCACCCTTGCCGTGCGAGGTTGGGAATATCCTGACGCCCCAGCCTCGCTTGCCTCGCAGTTAGTCCGTCGATCGGCCTTTGCCTAGAACCACCATGGCTTCTTGTCACTTTTAGCAGCAGCTAGTCCATTGCAGGGTTGCAGGCTGGCTGGCTGGCTGGCTGCCTTTGCTCAAATCGTCTATCAAATCCAGGCCTTAGACCCTGA